CAGCTGCCTGTTGAATTTCCTCACTTGCATGTGCCATTGCACCTCAAATGAACATGACTAAAATGGAACATACCATCTTTTTTCCCACTCTGTTCCTCTTCTTTTGTTCCCTACCTTGGTAAATGACCCCACATCTACCTAACTCCCCACGGAGTTATTTTGGATTCCTCCTTCCTTAGCCTGAATATCCAGTCATTGAAATCTTACCGTCTCCCAAGTTTGCATGCATTGCCTCGTCTCCATCCTGTCACTGCCTTGGCTGAAGTGTTCTTGCTCTATTCCTGCAGTTTCTGCAAAGGCCTTCTAACTAGTTTCCCTGCCTTGGGTTTTATCACTTTCCCTGCCGACACCAATCCATTTCCTATACCACCAGCATAATTTCCTAGGTTGCAAATTTGAGTATGTCATTCCCTTGCTCTAAACCTCTCATTGGCTCTTAGTCCTCTGGATAAAAGTCCAAAATTCCTAGCAAGATACACAAGGCCCTTGGTGATCTGTGCTTGGCTCAAGCCTCCATAGATGACTAGCTTTAACTTTTCTCCCTTCAAACCCTCCATCCTAACGAATGGTAGTTCACAGAAAATCCAACTCTGCCTTTCCACTTGTTGCTATATCTGGCTGTCTCATCCTTTAAAACTCAGTTCAGGGGCACCTGGGTGGCTCAGTCAGTTAAGCGTCTGCCTTCGGCTCAGGTCATGATCCCAGGGCCCTGGGATCGAGTCGCATGTGGGGCTCCCTGCTCAGCAGGGAGTCTGCTTCTCCCTCTCCCTCTGTCCCTCCCCGGCTCGTGCTCTCTCTCAGATAAATAAAATCTTTAAAAACACAACTCAGTTCCGATGTCACCTCCTCCAGCAAGCAGTCATTATTCCCTCTCATCATTGGACTGGGTGCCTGTCCTACCTGCTGCCACTGTCCACCGCTACTCATAACCCTTAATATACTGTACTGTTTTCCTGGATCTCCTTGAAAGCAGTGACTTAATTTTCTCTCTTTAGCTTCAGTTCTGTTGTAGTGTCTTGGGCCTAATGGGTAGACATTCAGTAAATGTATGTTAGGTGAAAAAAATGTTCTCAGCTGCCTGAATAGGTTGGACAGTAATAGTTCAAGGACCGGTTTTAGTGTTGGAGAACATGCACAATTTGATGGGCTTGCATTAAGTTCAAACCAAGACATGAAGAACAAATGACATCACTTTAGTGAAGGCTGAAATCCAGTCCAACCAGATTAGAAAAAAAATAAAATTTATGGAGCGCCTGGGTGGCTCAGTGGTTAAGCGACTGCCTTCGGCCCAGGTCAGGATCCCGGAGTCCTGGGATCGAATCCCACATCGGGCTCCCGGCTCAGCGGGGAGCCTGCTTCTCCCTCTGACCCTATCCCCTCTCATGCTGTTTCTCTCTCTCAAATAAATAAATAAATAAATAAATAAAATCTAAAAAAAAAAATAATCTATGATTCATAGTTTAAAACTACCACATGCCACGTGGGTAGGAGGAAACCTAAACTTTAATTGTTCCTGACAAAGACTTCTTAGTTTTCAAAATGACCCTCTTGTGTTCCTTGATTTGTCTTCCTGCTACAGCACAGATTTACTGTAACTTTGGATCTCTGTGTTCATTTTCCTTAGACCACTCTAGCTATCTTTAGGTCTTTCTTACCATCTGAGGTTAAATTTAAAATTTATCAGTTCCAATTTATCAATTTTCCCAATGTGTGAAGCATTAAACACAATCAGGCATCAATATTTATTAACACAAGACAAAGGAAACACATTCAATGAGTTAATAGAACACTGTCCAGCCAGATGTTAAATTTAAAAATGTATATCTAGTCTAATTTCAAATAAATAAAAAAACTTTATACATAATTACACAGTACTATAGTCTGAATTTGACACTGGTAAATATCTTGACAGAAAGTAAACAAAACATCATTTAGGACTAAAAAATTATTCTTATATCTTTACACACTCTTCCTGTGGACAAATAACATGGCCCATCTACATATACCTAGACCAGAAATGTTTTATGAATGATAAAGGCCTATTGTGTATTTGGAGTACTGCAGCTTCTTGCTCCAAATACTCTTGCTTTTACATCAAAGCAGACAACAAAAACAACACTAAGGCATAAGTCATGTTGGAGTTTGAGGGTGAGGTGATAACTCCTCATTGCTTTAGTCTAAAAGATTGCTGGATATTCAAGGAAAGTAATTTATTTGGCCAAGATATTGAGCACCATGCCTGGGGCGGAGACCTTAACAAAAAAACCTAAGGCCTCAGGCCCTTTGTTGATTCAACAAAAGCATTAAGCAAGCACTGCCCAGGGACTAAAGAAAGGAGACACACTTATATTACCAACAGACAGGCAATGGTCCCTAAACAGCCCGAGGCAGCACAACTTCGTGAGGAAAGGGCTTGATGGTGGCGGTGGTCTGGACCGGGCCCCCTTTCTGAGGCAGCAAGTAAATAAAGGCTGTGGATTCACACCGATGCCCGTTAGCATGCCGGTCATTCCCAGGGTCTCACTGATGCAGGAGATGACACTTGTGCAGCTCTAAGAATCCCTTGGGCTTAGGAATTTTCCTGAGGCAGCCCCTTCCTGATCTACCTCAATTCTGCTGAGAGGCAGAAAGAGGTTCAAAAGCTGTTAGATTGAAAGGATTTCTCTTAACTGAAATGGGGGCTTGCTATTAATCTTGTCTTTTTCACAGGCATAAAATAAAAACCCAGACAGAATGTGTTCCAGAGTTTTGGCTAGGCTGTTTCTATCGGTAATGGCCTTTTGGGTCTATCCTAAGAGTCCATTCTACCACAAAGGTTCTACTGAACGTGGAAAGGGCAAGAGCACTGTGTCATCAAGAGAAAGTTTTCTTATCCAAGTCTGTAACAGACTAGGCATTAAAACTATAGATGACCCCTCAAACACCCACAGGCTAACGACTGGACTCTCTTCTCCTTCCAGAGGATCCTTTACCACAGTTACTGAGAAGGTCCCGAAGACATAGCTCAGTTTTCTTTCCTCCACTAGCATATTCTGGCTTTGGGGAATACGCAAAAGATCAATAAAGCAGCCACAAGGTAGAAAGCAAAAACTAAAGATAAATCAGAGGCCTGAGGAACTACAAACCCAGATAATCAGACCCTAAGTAACTGGGAGTTGACCATACTCTGAGATTAATGGAGTATCTTAATTTGAAAGAATGAGTACACATCACCTCTGCCCAATATGGTCGCTACTAGCCACATGTGGCTACTGAAAACTTGAAATACGGGTAGTCGGAACTGAAATGTGCTTAATAAACACTGGATTTCAAAGATCTGATATGAAAAAAAGAAAATATCTCAATCCCTTTTCATATTGATTCCACATGGAAATTATAGTATTTTTGATATACTGGGTTAAATAAAAGATATTAAAGTCAATTTCACTGGTTTCTTTTTACTTTTGCAAATGTGGTTACTAGAAAATTTAAGATGACCGATGTGGCTCACATTATGTTTCTAGCAGACACCCTAACTTGTGTAGTAAGAATTTTCAAAGCAACCCATAGGATAAGACTCTGCCTATATTTTTTTCTTAGAACTCGTGGATTATGGAGATAGAACTATTTAATCCTCAGGATCCCTTGCTTTGTTTAGTGAATCATTAAAAACTATTGTAAGAAAATTACTTTCCAAATAAGCAGGCTGTTCTTTCTGCAAACTGAACCGTAGCTAGTCACTGGGATTTCCTGCTCCAATGTAAGTGCTTTTTTTCTGTACATCTTAGAACCTCTCCCATCATGTGTAAATTAATTTCATCCAAAATGTCAAAAAAGAGATCTGGAACTGGAAAATGTCTTGAGGTCTGCCCTCAGCAGAGAAAAAACTGGGAGGAAAAGAGGCTTATGTAAAAGGGAGGCAAGAAAGTGGCTTGGAGCCACAAGACTGAAGGGCAGCCCCCGAGAGTGACAAAGGGTCTGGGCTTTGCATTATAAACCTTATTTTCAGGGTAATTACAAGTCTTAAAAATTGTTTAAAAACATATTTAGTTTACAGGATGTTACAGCGGGGTAAATAATATGTATTATTAAAATAGTCTAAATAAATATTTACACAATAGACCAGAGTGGGTCCATTCTGATATAACAAGTTAACTCTGTTCACTTGGAGCTTTTCTTTTTTTTTTTTTTAATTTTTAAAAATATTTCTGTAAGAAAAAAATAATAAAATTCAACTTTATTCAAATACATGAAGTAATCAGACCAAAGAAAGGAAACCGAGCCAGAGGCCAAACTCAGTCCCACGCTCAGTCCACTTGGCCTGGGCACCACAGTTATTTCAAAGGAGTTTCTTGCATACATCAGACTTCCCCTATTTCAGCATAAGCCTCACTATTTTGGCAACCCAAATTGGTCAGTTTTGAGATCTGTAGTTATGTCACCTTTATGGTTTCCTGTGACTGCTGATCCCACTGCCTTCCCAGCCTGTCATTCTTGTTCCTAAAATCCCTGCCCTCGTGAACTGGAAGAACAGAGGACACTCTTCAGTTTTCCGAAGAGAAGCTATATGGATAAACTGGAGACGAAGTTGACAATAGGCCTGGAAAAAGAGGAAATCCTAAAATCTTATGTAGTCACTCTAAATCTGAAACACAGTTTCAACACTGGGGGCCGGAGTGAGTTCTTGTGGTTTCTTAGGATAGGGTGGGATCTAACGAAGCTTAGCCTTTTCATAACAGTTTGATTTTTAAACTGAGATTTTTCAGCTTGTAGAAACAGGCTGAATTCTTAAAAGCTTAAGCTGATTCTGGGAATGCAAGCTTGAAAAACAGAGGCAGCTTTCGTTTATAAAATACATCAGCCAACAGAGACATAGTACAATGTGCAGCGAAACCTGCAAACAATTTGCACTTTTTAGTTACCTATTCAATTACACTGCATTAAGAGAATATTGAAATTCTCACAAAGTAGAAATGCTTCTACTTTAGTTGCCATGACTACACACGCCAATTCTTCAATTGTTTAGCTGAATTGTGTATATTCTTATTTACACGTTTAAAACACTGGTCAAAATGTTTTACTCTCAAGAATTATATAAAGTAACTCTCCTATTCAGTGGGTTATTTGATTTGCTTATGGGTCAGCAGAAAATAAGCTGAGCAGTTCCACGTCAACAAACCTGCAGAAAGTCCAGCTATGGTAAAATGGCAGAATACAGTACAGAGCGGGGAACTGGAGAACTCCCGACTACCCCCTTCATGTGAATTCATTAAACTCCCTTACAAAATTCTAAAACAGCATTAGATAAAAATACAAGTATATACAACAGATGAAAAAAATGCAACATGCATGGAATCGCTTTAGTAACGTGCTGCTCACGCTATGTCAAAGCTCATGACTAATGGACTGTTAACAATTTTTTCATTTGCTACCGTACGATTCCCCTTTCCTGTGTGTCCTGTGATTGTAGAATCCCACAGGATGAGATGAAGGATATAATGTAACCATCTCAGCTTATTTCACATCATTTGAAAGCTTGCTCCTAGTCACTGGTCTTTGGTCCTTGTGGTTTTTCAGGATGGCCCCCCCCGTGATCCCCACAAGGCTGGTTACATGTTATAAGCCACATAGATGGGGTCTAACTGGTCAGCCAGGAAGCTGTCACGGAGGTGCATCCTCTGCTTCTCTCCTCTGGAGTTGATGGGGATAACACCTGGGTCCACCACCACCACGACGCCAACAATGAGGTAATGCTCTTCCAGGACCACGTTCGTCACTAAAGGGACCAGATCGAGGGCTTCCTGTTCAGAGCCACACAGTTCCACAACCACCACAAGCAAGTTGGTCCATGTGAACACGGCACTGAAATTTCAATGACATTCAGTTAACATGTCATTACGTTTACCAGGCATCTTTCATAGTATCTGCTCAAGACTTATCCCAATTTCCTTGACAACTGTCTTCTCTCTCGGATCCAACCAGAAGGCTAGCAGCCATGTCTGCCATGACCTTGCCCCTGTGATCACAGCTGATTAGCTGAGCCATCTACAGTCTCTCGGGGGTTTGGCAATGGGGTTGAAGGTTGCTAGCTGGTCATGTGAACTAAGCACAGGTGAAAGTTCTGGGGTAACTGGGCATCCAGAGCAGACAGAAAATGGCTCTTCCGGGACAAGAGAAAGAATGAAGTGGATGCCCCTACGGCTCTAGAAAGTGAGAGGACAGTGGTTCCTGATGGCCTTCCCATCCCTTACTTCTACCTTTCTTGAGATCCAGACAGACTCTTAGGAACCTCAGAGGTAGCCAGGTATTCTTTTCATTAACTCTCTCTTTTGCTTAAGTTTTTTTTGAAGGGAGTTTTTATTATTTGCAACTGAGGAGCTTTGACAAAGATAATATTCTGAGCCCAACAGGAAGGGAGTGGACCTCTCCTCTGTGCTTAGTGCCCCATACAGGTATCTCTCCCATCGGCTCATGCAAGTGACAGAAGGTAGAGAGTTGCCTTACACGGAGTGGGACTGCTGGGTTAGAAGGCATGACCTGACCTGTGATATGAAGTGTTAAATAGCTTTAAAAAACAGATTCCAGTCATTAAAAAAGAAAATGTACACAATACTTGGTTGCATAAAAAGTCAAAGGTCTAAAAAAAACCCAAGTCAAAGGTCTAAAACTAGAGGGTAGCCATGGCACCTGACTTCTCTGTATGGTTCTTATAATTCATGGGCATTGTTTGGGTCTGGGGAGAGACTCTGACCAAAGTGAGATGAAGATGCTGACAAGGGGCGCCTGGGTGGCTCAGTTGGTTAAGCGTCTGCCTTCGGCTCGGGTCATGATCTCAGGGTCCTGGGATCGAGCCCCGCGTCGGGCTCCCTGCTCAGTGGGAAACCTGCTTTTCTCCCTCTCCCTCTACTACTCCCCCCTGCTTGTACTGTCTCACGTTCTCTGTCGAATAAATAAATAAAATCTTAAAAAAAAAAAAAAGATGCTGACAAAGGAGCATCTAGAAAGCATGAGCAACCACAGAAAGAATTGTGGCTATTTAGCATGGGTTAAAAAAAACACAAGAAAAGAAAAAACAACCACCAGGGAAGGACGTATTGCATTAAAAATGTAGAAAAAAAACTGGGTGGATTCTGTATTGTCAAGAATCCAGCATGAAAGCCACTAGGTAAAAACTATCGAGTTTTAATTTTAAGGAATTTTTAGTCAGTGTGAGGCTGGATGTTTCTTTATCAGGGATAATGTGGAGGGAATTCCTACACTGAGAGGGAAGTTGGAGGAGGTAATAATGACCTTTTTCATCTGCTTTCCATTTGACAGTTTGCGAAGCACATTCCCATTTGATCTTCCCCATAATTAGGAAATAGCAGAGAAAGTATTTTACATGAGAAAAGCTGCCTATGTGGGAGAGCTGGGCCTTCAAGTTGGGTCTTTTGAACTTCAAGTCATGGTTCTTTCCACCATATTACACCGACTTTCTAGAGACAAGATGATCAGATCTCTTCCAACGGTAAGAATCTATCAGTACTCGACTCCACGGTGGTTCCATGGAGCCTATTCTAGTGTCTCCACGACCTCATCTGCCACAGCATATGGCAAATCACGACAAGAAAGAATCAGTCCATTTGCTTTCTTACTCCCCTTGGAGTTCTAGGTCTGTAGGGGGTATTTGGTAGGGATGGCTGACTACTTAGATCAGTTTTAACTGACACTACACTACAGCTGCGGCGGGAAACCCATTCTGTGTGGGGGCATTTACCATTCAGCAATGCTCCTGTGGATCCGGGACACTGAGGTCTCAATATCGATCGGGTGGTATCGTAATCCTCTCAGCTCCAGCGTTTCATCCAGAGCTCCCACCACATATAATGCATCGTGACGCTCTGACAGAAAGAAAAAGAGAAATCTGGTTCATCAGACATAATGAGTGCAATACAATGTTGGAGTGAAGAGCACCAGGTCAGACTGCCTGCCACGTCACTTGACCCCACCACGTGCCAGCTGTGTAACCTTGAGCCAATTACTTAAGTCTCCGAGTCCTGCTTCCCCCTCTGTGAGACAGGGAGAACAATACATGGCTGCTGTGAGTATTACATGAGATAATCCAGGTGAGGGAGTTAACATGATGCCTGGTACATTGTAAGTGCTAAAAAAGAATTAGCTATGATTATTATTATTATTATTACTACTATGTCCCAGGAATTGTGTCCAGTGCTGGGAAGATGACAAAACACAAGTCCCGCTCTGAAGACACTTACTGTCTAGTGGGAGACAGAGACACACAACAGGTGCTCCACTGTGACACGGTAAGCCCCGTGCTAGGAGTGCGCACGAGGTGCGTGTGAGGCGAGCGGAGGACACTCCCCGTGCTCAGTTCAAGGGTTCAGGGAAAGAAAAGCCAAAACCAGGCTAGGCTTTTACGGATAAATAGGAATTAGCCAGATGACAGCTGGGGGAGGGGTGGAGCGGGGAGAGTGGATTTGAGAGGGAGAAGAAATGAGCACGTGTTGTTCCTAGACATCTGCAAGGAGTCCAGATATAAGGAGTAGGATTACAGAATATGGAGAGATTAGTCCTGGTTATTAATAGGCTTGTAATCCAGCTAGAACATGGCAGAAATCTTTTTTGTTTTAATTGTATGCACACACCGTATACGTAAGGCTACATATGTGGTTTATGTCTATATAGGTACGGCATTTTGAAGAAAGAGATGATTTTGCTAGGTCTACTGAATACAGTATTTTCAGGAAAGGGTAAATTTCTGAAAAATTGAGCAAAACAAAGTGCTAGAAGCTGTTGGAGAGAGAAGGATGAGGAGGTCTAGCAGATTCCCACCATATAAGAAGAGCTTCTAAAGACTATAATAACAAACACAACAGAAACACAGCAGGTAATCTCACATCATTTCCATAAGCCAGGAAACATTATCATTCTCACCGTCCAGGTAGGAAACTGAGAGGCTCAGTGATTGCTCAAGGTCACAAAGCAAATGGCAGAAGTAGGCTTCAAAACCAGGGCACCTGGTGAGGAATACCTCCCTCTTCCCCAGTATGTTATCCGGCCTCCCCGTGAAACATGGAGAAACTATGGACGCTGGTCACTATGGAACAGACTCAAGGAGCTTAGGAGAAATGACTTTGCTCTAATTCAGGCCTTTAAAGTCCAGTGAGTTACCTGTATCTGTTCTTGAAGTGATGATACAGCTACTGCTGGGTATTTTAACACGGCCATTTAATGCCGTGAGGAAGAAAAGTTGAAGTCAGGCAGCAGTGAAGCCATGATGACAGTCAACTGAGCAGAGGGTAATGGGGGGACTGCTCACACCAGAGCCCTGCCCAGCAGTCACATATCTAACACCCGTTAGATAGAGGGAACACCCATCCTAGGAGCCTGTGCAGCGGCTGGAGTCAGCCAGGGGTACAGTCAGCATCAGACACGTCTCCATGACTGCCGGCCATGCTCACGCACAGTTCAGAGATGCTGACGTGGTACCCCGGGTGCCTGCATCCTAGTTACTCCTCATGGGGCAAAGTCTTGCTTCAAATGAATATAAATTCATATATGGGTCCAAGAATCACAGCAGGGAATAACTAAATACACACACACTAGACAACGCAAAGGCCAGCTGAGGAAGGCGAGCCAGGGCTATGGGCCGCAAAACAAAGCAGGCTGAAGGGAAAGCTCTGGTGAGGAAGCTACCTCCAGTGGCCGCTGTGAGCTCAGTCCGGCGGACAAATCCAAGGTATCCTGTCCGCGCCCAGAGTGTCTGCGCGGCATCCCCAAAGCTGAGGCGAGTGTTGAAATGATCAGCTTGAAGAGTCTCACTGTCATAGATCGTGTAATAGCCACTGGCTGTGTGGGGACTGTTCACCCAAATCTACAAGAAAAGGGCATCGGTCACATTTCAGCAGGGACATAGAACTCTAACAATTCAATTCTCTTTGGACGGATTATTATTATTTTTTAACTCTCATTGTTAGAGTAACAACAGTAACATACCAAGAAAGGCAGTTGACATTTATCAAGTGTTTCCCATGTGCTAAACAGAGACGTAAGTACTTTATATGTCTTATCCCCATCAATCCTGACATATGTGACAACACAGTCCTGTACTATTGTTATTCCCATTTTACAGATGAAAAAACAAGGAGTTAAGTAACCCGTCTAAGATGCAGAAACTAGGACTCACACCCAAGCCTGCGGAGCTGCAGGGCCCATGCTCTTAACCACCATGCTACACCGCCTCCCTGGCTTATTCCTCAGCCCCTTCCAGAGCCCTGCAAATGCATCAAGGGATCACTTCTGTGCTTCTGTGCTTCTGTATAAAGCCCTCAGGAAAACACTATGGGGTATTTGAATTCGCACTGTCAGCATAGCAGTAGCTAACAATGGTAATAACACTAGTATTTATTGCAAACTCGTTATGTGACGGTCACTGTTGCACGTGCATTACACATACAGGTATTAATGTAGTTAGCTGTCACACAATTTCTTTCTTTTCTTTTTTAAAGATTTTATTTATTTGACAGAGAGAGAGACACGGCGAGAGAGGGAACACAAGCAGGGGGAGTGGGAGAGGGAGAAGCAGGCTTCCCACGGAGCAAGGAGCCTGATTGGGGGCTCGATCCCAGGACCCTAGGATCGTTACCCGAGCCGAAGGCAGACGCTTAATGACTGAGCCACCCAGGCGCCCCAACTGTCACACAATTTCATTAGGTGAAATTAGGTGGGTGCAATTATTATTTATGGATAAGAAAACTGAGGCCCAGAGAAAGTGAGTAACTCGCTCAATAGTTAGAGGCTGGGAAGTGGCAGAGCGCAGGTCATTTGGCTCCTGTACCCACAACTCTGCTCCCGGTAAACTACGGGGTGAAACATCAGTGCTCCTCAAATATTTGAGGGAAGAAAAATTAAGTCGTTTTAAAAATCTTTTTTAAAAAAAATCTTGATACTAATACAAAGATGGGACACATTTTAGAATAAGAATATAAAATTTCCATGAATTTAAAAAATTTAGTATTTGTGGCTCCTTTCAGTTCCACCCCTTAATAGGTGGAAACAGGATTTGCCCATTTTCCTTTTCAACTAAGGGAATGTCAGGGGGCCAATCTGGGACTAGTTCTAGTCTGGGTGCCGAAATCTTCCCTCCATCCTGGTCTCAATCTCCCTCTTTTCAGTCTTGAGCCTTACAGAGAAAGATTAAAACTCTTTTTTTTGTTTTGTTTTAAATTTATTTGACAGAGCGAGCACGCACAAGCAGGGGGAGCGGCAGGCAGAGAGAGAGGGAGAAGCAGGCTCCCCGCCGAGCAGGGAGCCCAACGCAGGGCTCGATCCCAGGACCCTGAGATTGTGACCTGAGCAAAAGGCAGATGCTTAACGACTGAGCCACCCAGGAGGCCCAGATTAAAACTCTTTTAAAAAAAAGATGAAAATTCACAATGGGGGAAAAGCTAAATCCACAGTTTCACTGACTTCTCCAATGTGAACCCTAAAGTCTTTTCAGAGTAAAGATAAAAATTATACATACCTCTCCAAGATGAGAGTCTCCAACAGGCCCTTTGGTCTCGGGATTAACAATAACCACTTTCACTCCAGGTAAAATCTGAGCATCAAAGGGAAAACACAAAGACTCAATCAACTCTAATGATCCCTCAGAAATGCAGTCACCTGCCACCCCTCCTTTAGTGAGGCGAGCGAGTGCACAAAGGCAGGAGCTAACTGATGTGGTGCTCACTGCATTGTCCTCAGTGGAGACCAGAGGTATAATAAGGTTCATCCTCAAAAATAAACCAGGGAACCAACCAGTCTACCTTCCCTTCAAAGGGATGAGGAACTGCAGCCCAGAATCATAACAGTAGGAATCTGTAATGTGACTGTCCTTTCTCATGATCTATCCTGTTCACTGGAGTGATGGCAGAAAAACCCCTTAAAGCAGAAAGGGCAGCAGGGAGGGATCATGTGAGAGGTTCTGCTCCCGTCTTCAGCAAGGGCTTGTGAGAGGAACTTGAAGAGGAAGAGAGGACGGTGGCGGCTTTGCAGGACAATGGGTCCTGCCCCTGGGATCATGAAAGATATCACACGCTCGGGATCTCCCCCAGGAGAGAAAAGGAAGAACAGGTGCTGGCCGTAAGAACGGCTCACGGCTTCTCTGGTTACCCATACACTGTCCCTTAAACCTCCTTCTCCATCGTGGGTTTCCGGAGTATGAGGTTAGCTGAGAAGTGCTACAACGGTGATCTAGGCTCATACATCTGAGACCTCAAGGAAGGAAGAGAAAAGACCGTTCTCACTGGTCTGGGTCAGGCACTGCACTAAAAGCTTCTGAGGCGCCCAAGCACGAGCTGAGGCAGATGGAGATCTGACAACGTGGTAGGACGATCAACCCAACTCCACTTCAAGGAGTTTAAATGGAAGAGAGGGACTGGAGTAAGTGCTCCATGGACTTAGTCTACTGCTTGATAGGTTAGGTAGGATCCCCTTTTTTCTGTATAATTTTCCCCTATGCCCTTCAGAATTACTAGAAGGAATTCTGAGGCATCACTGCTATCTCTGCAAAAGAATGAGAAGCTCGCCAGCTTATGCTGATGTTCTATCACCCTTAGTAAATGTTCACAACTGCTACAGACTTGAGGTTGTGTCTCTCCAAAATTCGTATGTTGTATGTAATCTACCTAAATCCCCGATATGATGGTATTAGGAGCAGGGGCCTTCTACCATGTGAGAATACAGCAATAGGACGGCCATCTGTGAACCAAAAATTCTTCACCAGAATCTGCTGGTGCCATGATCTTGGACTGTCCAGCCCCCAGAACTGTGAGAAGTAAGCTTCTGTTATTTATAAGCCACCCAGTCTATGGTATTCTGTGATAGCAGCCCAACGGGACTAAGACAGTAACTGTGTCTCTTCTTGAACATTTTATTTTATTTTTTAATATTTTTTTTAAAGATTTTATTTATGTATTTGAGACAGAGAGAATGAGAGAGAGAGAGAGAGAGAGAGCACATGAGAGGGGGGAGGGTCAGAGGGAGAAGCAGACTCCCCGCTGAGCAGGGAGCCCGATGCGGAACTCGATCCCAGGACCCCAGGATCATGACCTGAGCCGAAGTTAGACGCTTAACAACCGAGCCACCCAGGCGCCCCTCTTCTTGAACATTTTAAAGCCTCATTCTAATCTAAGAAATCTTATCCCCATAGACACACACTCTATATATCTCTAGGCCCTTCCCCATTTTGGTTTCTCTTTCAGCTTTAAACACATGCATGCCCTCCCTGATCGTCAACCACACCTCTCCACTGCCACCCTATTTTTCTCCCTGTAACATTTATAAAGATAGAATTGGCTCTAAGTGCTGTTCACTTCTCCACCTTGAATATAATGAACACTGAATTTTGCTGATTTGTCAAATAAGAATAACACGTCAGTTGCATTTTTAAAAGGAATCTGTGGAAATTAGGAAAGTTCAAATCTACAATTCTTCCCTATGTACTCATATGCATTTGAAAGTATTAGCTAAGGTGAAATTGTTGAATTATCTCCAGATTTCAATTAAGGCTTACCCTGGGTACTAATATGTTACATGGCTTCAAGTTTCTTTAAAAGGAACCAATTAAAAAATAAAAAAATAAAAACAAATAAAATGAACCATTTCCCAGGTAGACCAACTTACAATGGTTAACAAATTACCTTTCCAGACTCTGAGAGAAGCAAACTCTGGGGGGCACCCCGTTCCACAAGACGAACCCTGGAGAAGAACAATATTTACTATATGCGTATGTACATACATACACACACACACACACACACATATATATATATATTTGAAACAATGGCTGCACCACATCTACTACAGCTATATACTGCCCTCCCGAGCCCTTTGTCTCTCCTTCTCATGCTAGAGCAGAGTTTCTCAAACTTGGCACTACTGACATTTTGGGTCAGATAATGTTCTTTTACGATTTTTTACGAGGGGCCATCTATCCTGTGCATTGTAGGATGTTTACCAACATCCCAGGCCTCTACCCACTAGATGTCAGCAGCAACCCCCTTGTTGTAACAAGCAAAACCATCTATGGACATTGTCAAATGTCCTCTGGAGGGCAAATTCTCCCCACTGAAAACCACTGTCCTAGAGAGATGCTCCACCTGTGCAGGCTGGGTCAGTGCCCCGGGGCACATCAGTGAACACAGCCGAGGTCGGTGGGACCTGGGCAAAGGTCCCAGAGCCCTAGGGCCAGGCACTCACCTTGAGACATAGCTAAAATTCCCCTGTTAGCTGATGAGGAGAAGGGCTTTTATTCCTGGGGTTTAGATAAAGTGTTGTTTCAAAAACCCTACTCTGCCTCATTTATTTTGTCTGTTCCATCTTTTATTTTTAAACTCCCAGAGGAAAGAGTCTATCCATTTTAGTTCACTTTATATCAGATGTCACAAAATAGTTTTACACAGGCAGGAACTAAGTATTACATTTTAATATTAAAGAACAGCGCAGCAACTCTGAGAATTAGAGCTTTCTTCTTACAAACATAAATCTTATCAGGTATTAATAAAAACAAATTCCTTCCCTCTTCCCATCCCTCCCTGGAAGATACAAACAAAAGGAATGAGGGAGAGAGCCAGCTTTCTTGGGGCTCAGAATTTTTTATGCTTAGAAACTCAAATAGGGAATGAGCATAATAAATCTACTGTACCTGTCATGTCTCAATGATTTCAGATCTACATACACAGTAGTTGGATCAGGCCCTGAGGTTCCCTACAGAAAAAGAAATCAGTGCATTGTTTATTTAAAATTTAAATGAACTGTGTTTCCATATTTCACATTCTCAAATCAAGAAATAGATAATTTAGCCATATACATGAAAAATCCAAACTCTGTTCGGAAAGCTCACCCTCTCTTCAGCCAGATGAGGCCGGGTTGCAGTCAACACCCGAAAGGGACTCATGGCCTCACGTTTTTCCTCCCTCCCCTGGGAGAGTAGGCCAGGGGCCTAGACACAGGGGCTGGAGCAGCCCTGAAAGGTTACCAGGCTGAGGAGGGTTCTCATCCCTGGACTCAAGGCAGAGATGAGACAGGCCAGCATCCACGGGATTTTCAAAACCAACACTGGCCTAAGCAGACAGTAAGGAGTCTGTGATGGGGCACCAAGGTTAAATCACCATGATGCTACCTGAATGTCCTTTGCCCACGGTCACAGAAGCCCTGAAAGTCCCCACCCATGTACGCCAGCTTCTTTCACTCTCTCTCTTGTCCCTACCTATATTTACCGTATTAGCCCTTCAGCTCCCTAAAATCAGAACTTAGTTCTTTTCTATTATTTACCCACCAACAATATAACATGGCAAAGTTGCCATCTGGCTGCAGAAAAGAATACAGGCTTTATTTGTGCTTCCTTCGTTTAAAAAAAAAAAAAAGAGGAGGAGACAGAAAAACAGAAGGTAAGATACTAAAAAAATTCAAATAGGACTCAAAAACCTTGGTTCATCATCATGTACCATTAAACTACTAGAGTAAACATTTAAATTGGGCCTCATCTGCTGGGTGTGGCTCCAAGCGTGTGTACCTAGTAACTCAGTGATTCTACAGAATGACCCTGTGAAGAACAATTCTATTATCTTCATCCTACAGATGAGCAAAATGAGGCACTGTGAAATCCAAATGAAGAGCCCGCAGTCCCAGAGCAAGTAAGTGGAACTGGGCTCCTGCCAGGCTGCCTAGCTTTGCAGCCTCTGCTGTGGAGCACCACACACTCCGCTTCCATTCATTATCAAGCAAGATATCATGACAGTCACCTGTAAACATATCGCTACATTGACTCTTGATCCAAAAGTAGTGCTCACAGCCCGAGGGGACAGCCCAATGTCTTTGAAGAGCTTGGAGAAGGACTGCTGGAGGGCAATGCGGGGTCGCTCCTCAGCCACAACCACACACGTCCGGATGCAGGAGAGGTTGATTCCTCTGGTCTGTAAGACACCAATGGCCCAGGAGCGGAAGTTAGTAGTAACAGAAAAAGAACCGAATAGTAGGGCCCTTGTTCTATCTCTTTGGTCAGGAAGAGCCAAGGAACTGTGTATTCTCATCGAGACACCCAGGGAAAAGACTAAAGTTTTCGGAAATGCCAAGGCATTCCACTAACATCACTACCCAATGGTAAATCTGTTCATTCTCTATTTCTTTCCTCTTTTATCTAAAAATCTTAGATTCTTCAGCAATCCATTTTTATAACTCCCCATTTCTGTGCTTTAGATGTCTTCCTATTTCAAAATGGAGAGAAGGGACTGAGAGAAAAAGAAATCCAGCACTCTAGAGATTGAATCCTATTTCTTTTTATCCTTCTCAGGGTCAATCCTCTATTTTTATTTATTTGTTTATTCTTATTTAAGTTCAGTTAACATATAATGTATTGTTAGTTTCAGAGGTAGAGGTCAGTGATTCATCAGTCTTCTATAACAGCCAGTGCTCATTACATCACGTACCCTCCTTAATGCCCATCACCCAGTTACCCCATCCCCCCACCCACCTCCCCTCCAGCAACCCTCAGTTCGTTTCCTATGATTAAGAGTCTCCTATGGTTTATCTCCCTCTCTGATTTCATCTTGTTTCATTTTTCTCTCCCTTCCCCTATGGTCTTCTGTTTTGTTTCTTAAAATCCACATAATTTTCTGTTAAAGAGAATCAGTGTCCTCTGACTCTCTCATATGCCAGTCAGACATATTATCCCTGGGTACACATACGAATGAGCTCCCCTGATCTTTGGGGCACACCCCAATCTCCACTACTCTGGGGCTGCAAATTTTCTTGGAAAAAAATCCTACTGGGGGTCATGGTTCTCTTTCATCTTTCCACGAAGTCATTTCCATTCAGCCTCCCGACTAGTTTCACCTTCCTCTCCACAAAGTAAGACTCAGATTCAACTTTGAAAGAGCGCATTAAATTAGAAAGTGGAAGCAATAAAATTCCTGAGGTTTACAAAATGTTGGCTGGCTAGGAAAAGGCAGGCAGATAGGCCTGTCAGGCCTGGCTCGGGTCTCGTCATGCGTGGCCCGTTTCTTTCAGGGCTCTTGGGACCAGGTACTTGTGTGGTTGCTCCTTACCTTTAGCACCTCCACTTGGTTTCCAAGCCCTTTGGTGCAGAGCTCCATTACTGAATAGGAGCAGAAAGTGTCCCTTATTTTGTACTGGTTGACAGTGGAGAGCCAGAGGAAAAGGTTGTTTTCTAACTCCATAGGAGGAATTAAGATGGACTGGTGACCTGAATAGACACTGCAATGAAGAAAGGCAAGAGCTGACATTATCAATTCATCCTAGACATCTTGATGTCTTAGAACACCATCCATTCAACAAATATTTACTGCATGTGAAGGGCTGTGTAAGGTCATATGAGATATAAAGGTCTAAGCATCAACCTTGCTCCTGTCCAACTCACAAGGCACAATAACTAAAATAAAGCAGACTGGTATATACTGTGACTGAGATGTGAAGATCATAAAACCAAGATCATAAAAGAAGTCATTCAAATTAGGAAACCTGGGGTGGGGGGTGGGGGCGGTGTTTCACTGAGTAGGTGTCAGTTGACCTGGAGCTTAAAGAATGAGCAGGAGTTTGACAGTGGCTGGAGGAAATGCGGGTGGTGGTGAGAGCATTCCAGGCAGAGGAGCAGCATATGCAAAGGAAAAGAAACATAGAAGTATATGGTATGTTTAAAGTTGCCAGAAATAGCGTTCTAGTATGAAATGCTATAGCACAGGATGCGTGGGGGAGTGGTGAGAAGTGAGGCCAGAAGGGTTGGGGCCGAACCGTAAAAGCGTAACTATCACCTGAAGGAGTTTAGGCTTTACCAGCAGGCAGTCGCTGCGGCTTTAAGCCGGGGCAAGCCCAGCACCAGGGAGCGGGGCTGGAGACACAGACACTGGCGAGGGAGGGGCAGGAGAGGTGAGAGGTGAGGGGGGCTTGAATCCCGACGGTGCGGTCAGGATAAGAAGAAAGGAATGAGAGAGTCACATTTTATATGTATGGTTCACAGCCATGAGTCCTCAACTTCTTAAACCTGAGTACAGATAGAATCACAAAGAGCCCAAGGATCCTGTATTTAAAAAATACTGGAATTGTGGTTGCCAACTCTGGAGATCTAAGTTCTGAGTAAGTCTGGGGAAGGCCCCTTAATTTGCTTTTTTAAAGACCCTGGGGTGATTCTTATGTACAGACAGACAGGTTTGGGAACAACTGAGCCACAAAGGACACGACACTTAATTGGATGTGAGTCGTACAGATACAGAAGTTGAAAATAATGCTCAAGTTCCTAAGTTTGGGCCCCTAAGGTGAATGGTCCCGTGCTACCAAAGATGAGGACACACAAGGGGAATGCTGAGTTGTAGGTGTCTGTGAAGCATCCACGGGGACACCCCCCGGGAGGTGGAAATGCAGGGCTGAGAGAAGGCTCCCTGGGAGGAGTGGGGGTCTGCCATGCCATAAGACACAATCTGGACAAGAAAGACATGCTACTTTCCAGGCACATGCCATCATCCAATCTCATTATACTCCTTCCTGCCAAACCTAGGGGGTACATTCTGGCTGTCAAAGCATGACATATTTCACCCAAGTATCATCCTTTTACTTGGCTCTGCTTCTAATGTAAGGATTACCGGATAGAGCAGAGAGCAAGTAATAAGATCACTCACTTTTTGTATGAGGCATAAAACTAACAGACAAGAAAAAAAAAAAGGGAATATAACCAAAACTAAATGAACTTCAGAGATACATCAGGTGCACCAATTCTGGAAACATCAGCATTTTATTGAAAGATTACCAAATTAAAGGAGCAAAGGGAAGGATGAGATGGTGACAGCCCCAAAGACATCCCCACTCATTCTGTTTCTTTGCTTTTCCATTCCTACCTGCAGAGACACCAGAGTGCAAAGCCAAGTCCACAGTAAGGGTCAAGGCAGATAGCGATCTGCCGAGAAGAATACAACTCACACTGGAGCTTGATGGCTCTACAAAGAGCATTGACTGCAGAGTGGGACATCTGGAAAGTAGGGAACATAGAACAGGATGGAACTGGCATCCCCACAGGCAGAAAAAGCCCTAATGATAGTTTTGAAAAGTTTCAATTTCCCTCAAACTCCTCAAAATAATGTCTGTCTTTCATTGCCTCAAAAAGCCTATCTAAGTCTGGAGTACCTGGGTGGCTTAGTCAGTTAAGCGTCTGACTCTCGATTTTGGCTCAGGTCATGATCTCAGGGTCGTGAGATCGAGCCCTACGTCCGGCTCCACCCTCAGTGCACAGTCTGCTTGAGATTCTGTCTCTCCCTTTGCCCCTCCCCACCCTCTAAAATAAATAAATAAATCTTAAAAAAAAAAAAAAAGCCTACCTAGGTCTAACATAAGGTAACATATTTTTGTTCATTAGTTAATACTGAGTTCTATGAAATATGAATCTATGGTTTCTTACTGGCTTTAACTGTGACTCTTGTTATCTATTAGCTTCTAGGCCAGGTTCAGAACACTTCATAACACACATTCCTTGGGGTTACTTATTCCGGAAGAGCCAATGCTTTTATTTAAATATAGCAGGGACCTTTGATCCTCCGCCTACTGTCTCTGGTACAACCAGCTGGCCTCCACATCTGAAGTCCCTGGGGCAGTGGTCATCTCTATTTTTTGCAGACCTGGCATTTTACCAGCGTCCAGAGAGAGTCAAGATCTCCAGCCCACTCTACCTTCACTCCTGTCAGCATGCCAGTTGTGGAGACGCTAAAATCAAGATACGCCAACATCTCAGGAGTGGGTGGTTTATACAGCTGAGGTAACCTTTTCCTGGGTAAATCATCTGCAATGAAAAGAAAAAAACCTGATGTCAGTCAGACACACTGGAACATGAAAATCATTGCTCTTCAACTGGTTTTCTAAGGCTTTGCTATGGACAAATATAGCTCCTGGGATTTGCTAAAGCTTAGGCTTCTCCTATTTAACCAAACAGCTCACGTATGTCACTCCTAGAAGTGGGTTGGAGTTGAGGACACCACTGGGTAATATAAACAAAGCAAATCTCCATCAGATAAATATATTTACTAGAAGGCTGGCGAGGGGTAGAGTAAAAAGGCGGTAGAAGACATAACTAAGGAAGCAGATTGCTGGTGTTCAAATCCTGCTCTGCCATTTACCATCAAAGTGACTTTGGAATTATTTAACCTCTTTGTTTCTGTTTCCTTATAATACCTACCCTCACAGGATTGTTAGAGAGTTGATTCACATAAAGCACTTTTCAAACAACTCAAAAACTCAAAAAGCCTTAGTTGTTATTATGCTGGTTCCAAGTTAAAGTTCATTATTTATAGTTTAGTACATGCAATATCACTCATGGACAGCTTTAAAAGTTGTTTTTCTCCAAGTTAATACGGTAGATTTTTAAGAATGAAAACCTAGAATTAGGGATTATTTTCCTTTGCTCGTTTATTTATATACCTCTCCCTTCCTCCCAAATTTGGTTCGTAAGTATGTCAAAACCTAGGATGTCAAGACTGTCTCTGGCCCCAACCATGCCTCTTTAATGACTCCTGTGGCTTTCTGGATCAAGAAACAATTCTGACTCTAAAACTTAAATCTCTATATTGTTGGGCGCCCATCTCTGGTCAAACCAAAGACTTTATCTATCACTTTCAACACGCTTTTGTATAGGGTAGGGTCACTCATGTTCCTACAGAAACCTTTCTGTTGTCTGTATCACAGCCCAGAGTTCAGGTCTTCCTGAAATGCGACTGAGTCCAACAACCGTAGTAAATCTACCTGCATCATTAACACCAACACAGTCCATTTGTGTTATATATAACTGTGCTTACGTCCTTAAGTAACAAATGTAAAAAACTCTAGTTTAGCATCTGGCACATAACCACCACAAATACCTGCTATCCTGCATTTAAGCCCATACAAATGTTCCTGAGTTAGACAGACACCATGTGGTACTTACTGAAAACAGGGAGAAAGGAAATGAATGGTTAAGAGTCTGGGAATGGAGCCAAATCAACCGGGTTTGAATTTTAGTTCTGCTACTTATTTAACCTCCCTCTACCTCAGTTCTCCTATCTGTAAAATGAGGATAAAATTTACACCTATCTAATAGGGTTGGTGTAAGGATAAAATTAGGCAATGTATGTTAAGTGACTGGCATATAGCAAGGGCTCAATAAAAGATGTTATTATTATGATTATGTGTGAAGTGCTTTACATTATGTCATTTAATCATTACAGCTCCATGAAGTGGTTATTAAAACTCCCACTTTATGGACAATTTTGCCCAAGTTAGTAGGGATACACGAGGAGTAACAGAGTATCAGGATTGAAATATCATCTCTCTGACTCCAAAACCCACTCTCTCCCCTCTACCACCATTCTCCAGGTATCCCCACATCTTACCCCCACTGTGCTTTATTAGCACGAACACCATCTGCAAGTCATGTACTTTATGGTTTTTAAAGTACTTTCCTATTATGCTGCACTTGACATTCTCAAAAAATACGTGAGTCAGGTAAGGGTAGTTAGCATTTTAGGAAAGGGTAATCTCAGAGAAGATTATATAGAAAATAAGTACTTGAGCTTGAACTAGAACCGGGTTTTCTGACTCCTAGTCCCATGCTGCTTTAACTAGATCACATCTAGAAGTCGAGGATCAGATCATCTCAAGATTTTATATGGCCTTACATGTACACAGTTATATTCTGCACAAAAACCTAACCACCATTTGAGGATGCCAAGAGTAAGAGCAAGACACTTTTTTGTTTCAAGAGCTTTTAGCAAACTGTGATCTGCATCTTTGGATCTGGTTGCTGTAGCATCCAGTCCTTTGGTAACACAAGCGAACCAGACATGAAGTTTTGCCTCTGTCTTAGCAGGTGGAATGTGTTGCAACCTAAGAGCTGTATAAACATCTTTGGCATGAGAATCTGGGAGATCTCAGGGAATGAATGTTCTTGCTCCTTCAGTAGCTCTGGAGAAATCTCCCTTTCACCTGTGTCAATGATGGTTGGCCAGGTTTTCACGTCCACAGCTGCTGCTGCCTCTCGGGACCTCAGTAACCTTAGCAGGGTCTGTGTGGTGAGAATGCAGGCTGCTTTGCTGACCTAGAAAACAAATGGACAGAAATAAGCACCAGGAAGCTTAGTTCCCATGTGGCACCACAGGCTCCGGCTGCTGCTAAAAGCAAACTCATACTGGACTAAAAGCACACCATACTGCACAGGAGAGAATTCGTTTTTCAAAGAACACACAATAGTACAGTGGATGCTGATGCGTCCCCTACATCTGTCCTTCTGGAACTGTGTAACACTGGACTGTGACTCAGAAGGATGGGCCTGTTCACAACACGAGTTACTGTAAACAAGTATTCTCAACTATTTCATAGTTAAAATCTCAGTGTGGATGCCAACATCTCTTGGCTTCCCGAAGACCGTGATAAAGTAAAAACATGGATATTGGCTTGCGTGGGAATTAGAAGAGTCTGAGGCTCATCTCTACAGGAGTTCGTGTTTGCCGCAGTCGAGCGAATGCACGAAATGTGCTAGGCCTAGAACATATCCCGAATTTGAGGGATGCGGAGCTGTCATGGAAACTAAGCTCTCCTTTCACACCGATACATGGAAAACGCAAAGTGACCAACTTCCCCTCAAACTGTCAACAGCAGGAAACTCCCCTCCCTGCTGCTCTGTCCTACTCTGCAGTATGTAAAGAGGGCATTCTGCTGAGCTGAACTTGGTAATCAAATCATCTATGGTGAACATGGCTTTTACAGCACAGGCTCTAGCTGCTGACAGAAACAAATGTTACACAAGTTAGAATTCTGCCTCTTTGCTGTAACATGAATTAGGATATGATGCAATACAGATTTATGTTACTTCCCTCAAATCTCATATCCTTGAGAAACTTTTATCACTCCCAGGGCAAGATCTGGATACCTTTTAATACTATGCCAAGTGAATTTATAGAACTAACCCAAATAAAAATGACCAACACTGGGGAGAATCCAGTTTGGCATGTCAAATTACCTTGGCTACTGTGCAGAAAAAATGAGAACATTTTTTAAGAAGGGAGATAAAAAAAAGTTTTATGGAGAATTACTAACGACAGCCTCATCTCCTTAACGTTCATGATAAAAACACAATTCTGTACCTCACCAATAATCACTTTCACATATTCCTTCACCGAAAAATGCTAGTCATTTTGTTCAGATAAATGAAAAGGAGGTGGTTTTCAGGAGACAGATTTCACTTCCTGACTCAACAAAACCGGAAATTTAGTAAGGATCCTGAGTTGTGTGACTCTGGATTTTATGAGATGAAGACAAGGCAAGATACACTCGGTACTTACGTCAACAATCATGCGGACAGTGGGCAATGTGGCCGTAAGGTTCTGAGCGTGAGGAGGTCGGACAGTGACAGGTATGCACCCCGCGTACAGGCAACCATAGAACGCTGCTATTAACTCGATGCCTGCAAGACAGAGTAACTTAGCTGCCCAGCATCACTCAGAAACTAAAAGGCAGATCTTCTAAAACCAGTTTATTAAATCATGTGCCAGATAGTTTACTATCATGATTTTAACACAGATAACAGCAGAAGAAATTTTTTAAATCGAGAAGGGACTGAATGTAAAGAAGGAAGCATATAAAACAACTTAAAAAATATAGAGAGGCCAAGAATAAGTAACAAGAAAGGAAGTCAGAAGTAAAAAAAACTCTTGAAAGACACCTAAGGAAGGTATTTTGAAATCATTACTTGATATTGCTTAGAAGAAATAACTGCAGAAATGAGGTCTGGTAACTTAGGAAATAAAAGAATGGGGAAAGGGAGGGATGAGGAACACCTGAGCTTTAAAAAAATATTTAGAAGGGCTGCTGTGTGACAAGCAATTAGACTTCTGAGATGTCGCTCCACCTGTGGGTGCGAGTTTTAGGGAGGCAAAGTGTGACTCAATTTGAAGAAGACTCTCCACTAACAGGACATGGAGAGTGGCCTTTTCAGGAAGTGCTCTGGTCCAACACCATGTCATTCACTGGTGGATGGAAGACAATCTTACAGGAGCACCATAGGAGGGTTCTTTTACCAGATGACCTTCTACTTTTTTTTAAAGATTTTTATTTATTTATTTATTTGAGAGAGAGAGATACAGAGAGAGTGAGAGAGAGCGCACGAGCAGGGGTGAGGGGCAGAGGGAGAAGCAGACTCCCCGCTGAGCAGGGAGCCTGACGTGGGACTCGATCCCAGGACCCCGGGATCATGACCTGGGCCGAAGGCAGACACTTAACCAACTGAGCCACCCAGCCACCCACCAGATGAGCTTTTAAGAAGTCTTAGTATCAGTGTAAATAAAATAGCACAGTGAGAATCACAGAACAAAATGAACTAAGGGGGATGAAAGACCAGAGAAAACCAGAGGTATGAGTGGGTAATGTGACAGAAGAATACAGAAACGAAAAACTCAAATATTTCACCTAACATTTTTAATATTTACACCAAACTGTCATCAAATAATTCTGAGTCCCTCTTACTATGAAGAGAACATTTTTAAATTAAATGAGAGCCTGGAAGATGAAAGCAGCGATAACGAAGACTACACATCAATCAGGATATAAAGAATGCAAAGTCAAAAGAGTTCACACATAATATTCTTTAGGAACTGGGTGAAATGGTCCCATTCCTGAACACTCCTAGAAAGAAAGCACCTCTTTTGAAGGTTCCAGAAGTCAGAGAGTCTTTACTTATTCATTCGATATTTACCATAGCACCAGGAACTATGCTAGACAGTGGGAATACAAGAGTAAATACAACAGACACAGTCCCAGCAGAGCCATGGTGCTGCCCAACTCCAGGGCGTGAAGCTCGGTTCTTACCTTAGCCTGGGTGCCTGGGACTCCCAGAGCTGGGAAGTGCACAGCCTATGTGGGCAAAGAGGGCGGCCCTCACTTCCTGGCCTCTCATACTCTGTAGCCTGGTAATGGAGCTTGAGTCTAGTTTACCAACCCAACACCTACCAGGTGGATAGAGCAACACCACGTTGTCTCCTGCATTTAGATGCCCCTTATCACCAAGAACTGATGCAATCCTCTCTGCTCGCTTATGAAGCTGAAGGCAACTGGCTGTACACACAGTAGTTCCCTTTAAATAGAAGAAAGTATAAGTGGGTCAAAACTCAGGAAATAAAACAGTGACAAGTACAACGTTATGTCGGAAAGGCTTGTGCCTTGGTAGATTCTCTTTAGCAAGTTATCAATTCCAGTGAAAATTCCCATAGTACCGAAAGACGTGCGGTATTTCTTTTTCAATGCCTGAAGGTACTTAGGGAATATCAACATTAACTTAAATCAAACATACGTACCTATAGTCTTTCTTGTTTAAGACAGCTTCAAAAACACATAGGAATTTTTTTATTTAAATGAGGAAGTAAGAATGGAAGGAAAATAAAGGAAATAAAAGTAGGATGAGGGCTGGAGTCACTGCTGGCCGTGTGGCCACGTGCATCATGTGCATTTGCTGTGCGTCACACAAATTCGGCTCCGAGTATTCTCACAGCAAAGATGTAAACAAAACAGGAACAACGGAGTCCACTCGCTAATAATGAAGATTAGCAGATCAGAAGATGGCCAGCTACTCCTGATCCTGAGAATAATTTCTCCTTGAGGTCTTCATCAATTCCTGAATGTCAATCCAAGTTTCACTGAGCTGGGCTTTTTTGAAACCCTTTTGTGTGTAAAGATAAACCACACAAATATGAAAGTGCATAAAATATGAATGTACTGCATAATGGAAAATTACAAAGCAAGCGTCGGTATAAGAACGGGCAGGCATGAAGAACGCCGCTGCCAGCAGCACCAAGGCACACCCAGGGGTGCGACCCCCCCGCCCCCGGTCTAGTCTCATCCTTTCTTTTCCTCCATATGTAACCGCTACTTTGACTTTTTAATCTTAAATCACTGATTTCCTTTTCTTTATAATGTTACCACCCATGAAAGATTTGACTTTACAGAAATGTAATGTACAGTATAAGCTTCTGTGTTTTGCTTCTCTCTCTCAACATTAACAGTCATCTCTGCCGCAGTGCACGGGTGTAGTTCTCATTTTTGTTGCTGCATAGTATTTAACTGTACAAACACACGACAATTTATTCATCCATTCTGCTGCTGATCGACACTATCACTCTTATACATGTATCCTCATGCGTAAACACATGAGTTTTGGTAAAGGGCAGACCTAGAGATGGAATTCAGGCACCGCATATGCCTATCTCCAACTTCACTAAATAACACCAAATTATTCTCTGCCTATTGTGCTAATACCACCCTATCTTAATTATTGTAACTCTGTAACTCAAAAAGTCTCACAAGAAAAACAAGTTTTATTTTTAAAGCTATTTTAAAAATAACTTTTAAGTTTCTTTAATATAAAATAGTACATGTTCAATATAGAAAATAGAGAAAAGTAAAATATAAGATATAACCACTATCAACATTTTGCTGTATATTTTCCTGGCTTTTAAAAAATGAGTATACATTATATGTAAATTCACATGCGACATTAAAAAAATGTTACCATATTATACTATCTGCCTGAAGCTGTGTTTTGCACTGGTAAAGAATGTGGGCTCAGAAGCCAGCTCTGGGTTCAAATGAAAGAGCTAATTTCCCAGTCCCACCACTTACTAGATCTCAGGCAAGTTATTTTATATCTCCGGGCCTCAGTTTCCTGAACCTTAAAATGAACTATAAAATATATAGCACCCAGAACAGGGTCTTCAGTAGGTACTCTATTATTATTATTATTTTTTAAAGGTTTATTTATCTCAGAGAGAGAGAGAGAGAGAGAGATCACAAGTGGGAGGGGTAGAGGGAGAGGGAGAGAGAATCTCAAGTAGACGCTGCACTGAGCATGGAGCCCTATGCAGGGCTTGATCTCACGACCCTGAAATCACGATCTGAGACAGAATCAAGAGTCAGGCGCTTAACCGACTGAGCCACTCACGTGCTCCTAGGTAGTTGATTATTTTACTGAAGTTTGATATGTTATTCTTTACCACTTACACATTATGAATATTTTCTGCATAATCAAATATTCTTTTATAACACTGTTTTGAATGGCTGTATAGTATTTTATGCCATAATTTTATATGCCATAATTTACTTAGTCAACTGTCTATTGTTGGACAGTAAGGTTATAACACTAAAACGGATATCCCTTTGGCTAAAGTCAGGGTTAAAGCCATAAGGCCATTTCTTATATCTTACAATATTCTTTTTGGCCCATGGTACAGTAGCAAACTAAAATAAAAACAATTTTCTGGGGGTGCCTGGATGGCACAGTCAGTTAAGTGTCTGACTCTGGGTTTCAGCTCAGGTTGTGATCTCAGGGTCATGAGATTGAGCCACTGGGCGTGGCGCCTGCTTAAGATTCTCTCTCTCCTTCTCCCTCTGCTCCCCCATCCCCTGCACTCTCTCTCTCAAATAAATAAATCTTTATTTATTTTTTTATTTTTTATTTTTTTCTGGGCATGAGGGAACAATGCGATATGGTCACTAAGCTTTCTGAGAGTCTGGGCTAATCCAAGGTAACATACTAGAATATACAGAAGAATAAATGGACTAAATGTCTTTGAGTCAACACATACATTATTTCTCTAACCAAGAAGCAAATTTAAACTTATGCTCTCTAACAAATACCTGGGGGGCACGCCTGGGTGGCTCAGTTGGTTGAGCGACTGCCTTCGGCTCAGGTCATGATCCTGGAGTCCCTGGATTGAGTTCCGCATCGGGCTCCCCGCTTGGCAGGGAGTCTGCTTCTCCCTCTGACCCTCCCCCCTCTCATGTGCTCTCTCTCAAATAAATAAATAAAATCTTAAAAAAAAAATACCTGGGATACAGGTTTCACAGGGCTTTAACTGTAACCCAGCTTGGAAGTGGAGTGGGGAAGTAAGCTGGACTGACATTTTCTTATTGAAATTGAGGACCCTAATGAATCCACGGGCTTGGAGGGAAGCCCAATTCATTTAGGGTAGAACAAGGAAGTCAAAAAGTTTTCTATCAGAGCGCAATGGTTCTTTAGATTTTTAATGACTTTTCACAAGATGCGCAGCATACTCCCCTCATGAGGTTCTATCAGCAAATAAACTCTCAAAAGTGTTTGTATAAATTACATCAGAATCCAGGGGGGCCTAGGCAGAAGGGGGCAATTTGGTAAGTGGCCCAGGAGATTTCAATAGGCCCTATAGTGCTCCCCGATGGTGGGAAATACTGTTATACAACATTGTCACAGTACTTTTAGCCTCTGATTCAGCTGTTAAAACAAGTATCACCACATGCCCACAGAATGCCTAACTTAAAAACATATAATATTTGTTTGCGCCTGGGTGGCTCAGTCAGTGAAGCGACTGCCTTCAGCTCAGGTCATGATCCCAGGGTCCTGGGATCGAGCCCTGCATCGGGCTACCCGCTCAGCAGGAAGCCTGCTTCTCCCTCTCCCACTCCCCCTGCTTGTGTTCCTGCTCTCAGTATCTCTCTGTCAAATAAATAAATATAAAATATTAAAAAAAAAATATTCTGATGAACCATCCATTAGAAAGTACCAGTCAATAAATTCTGAATAATTTTCAATTTGTTTTTTATCTGTTACCAATAAATCATTTAAGTATATAGTAAAAATAACTTTGTTTCAAGAAATATTTATCCATGGGGCGCCTGGGTGGCTCAGTCTGTTAAGCGTCTGCCTTCGGCTCAGATCATGATCCCAGGGTCCTGGGATTGAGTCCCAGACTCCTTGCTCGGCGGGGAGTCTGCTTCTCCCTCTTTCTCTCCCTCTGCCACTCCCCCTGTTTGTGCTCTCTCTCAAATAAATAGTAAATACAATCTTAAAAAAATAAATGTTTACCTAAAGTCATTTGCTTCCTGGTGGAAGTCCAAGAATTAAAAGTCAAATTCGATTCAAAATGACATGACATAATGCATCCTATACATCTGCAGATCTATGGAACTGCACTGTTGGCTCCACTGTTCCTATCATTACTGAATAAAGGCGACTCGACTGTAACATGAGGAGAGCCAGCATTAGATAACACTCCAGGAGGTCTCATTTCAACCTTGAAGTGATTGCACAATTTATCCTCATACGTCAAAACAAGGAGAAAGCAGTAACTCCTCCCTCAGAGTTGACAATGGAAATTTTCTGATGAAAGAGATCAAGAGTGCCTAAGATCCTCCCATAATAGTCATCTGATTAGATATATACAATTGGATTTTTAATACCTTGGCATTTAACAGCATGAAGAGTACATGGTCAGGAGTTGCCTGGGCTCGCCACTGTAAAATCTCCGCCAGAAACTGGTGCTGAAGTCATAAAGCAGAAAAAAGAATCAGGGTCAGTAACTTTGGAAAAGTTGGATAAGGCATCTCCCATCTACTGCCTGAAGCAGAAGTTCTGTCCTTGACTTTTTTATAAAAATCAACACATCTGAACTCTTCTTACCTTCCTCACTAAGTCATTCTCTTCAATTTGCCCAAGATCTCTTCCTGCAGCTTGTGCTATGCGTTTTCCAGCAACCAGATTCCCAACCATCACAGAAGCAGGGCCCACACCTGTAAGTAAAGCCAAAATCAACTCTCTGGCGGTGGTAATTCAAACTATGTCCCTGAAGTATTTCCAGACTGACCCAAACTAGTTCAAATATTCATTCAACAATTCAGACTGAGCATTCCTCTAGGCACTGGGGGCACAGTAGTAAACGAGGCAAACAGCCTCTTTTCTGGTGAGGAAAGGCAACCAGTAAGTACATATACAAATAAACCATGTCAGGTAGTAGGAAGTGCTAGAAAAAAACAAGATAGAACCAGAGAAGAGACAGGGATTTGGGAGGGTGGAGGGGAGCAGGTGGGCTCCTATAGCTTGGGCATAAGGAATTTTTCACTCTGAGGAGGTAACAGTTGGTTGCACTAGTTCCTACTGTTAAATAATTTCATCAGCTCCAATCACAGTATGACCCTAAAAATGGACTTAACAGTAAGGAATATCTGGTCTGGAAAGAAATCTGCCATCTATGAGAATTGAGAGTGGGTTCATCAGGAATCTTAGAAGTGCTCTATTAAAAGTGAGTAATGACAATGTGTTGTGGGACATTCTATAAGACAACGGGCCTGGACTCTTCAAAAACCATGTCTTTAAGAGAAAATAAGGCTAGGAGTTTCCAAATTAAAGGACATGACAGCCAAATCAATGCATGACCTTGACTGGATACTAAATTTTTAAAAACCAGTTGTAGGGGCACCCGAGTGGCTCAGATGGTTAAGCGTCTGTTTTTGGCTCAGGTCATGCATGATCCCAGGGTCCTGGGATCGAGCCCCACATCGGGCTCCCTGCTCAGCGGGGAGCCTGCTTCTCCCTCTCCTTCTCCTGCTCCCCCTGCTTGTGCTCTCTTGCTCTGTCAAATAAATAAATAAAATCTTTAAAAAATAAAAATTAAAAGAAATCAGTTGTAATAAAAAAGTGAAGAAATCTGTGTATTACAGACTGTGTATTATTAAATGATAGCATTATATTGTTAAATTTCTTTCTTTTCTTTCTTTCTTTTTAAAGACCAAGTGTGTGTACAGGAGCAGGGGTGGGGGGTTGAGGGGGTGGGCAAAGGGGGAGAGAGAGAGAATCCCAAGCAGCGTCCACACCCAGTGCGGAGCCTGAGCGGGCTCCATCTCTTGACCCTGAGATCATGACCTGAGCTGAAATCAAGAGTCAGATGCTTAACCAACTGAGCCACCTAGGCACCTTAAGGTTAAATTTCTTAATGGAATAATGGCATTGTTGTTCATTAGGAAAACTTTAGGAGATTTTTTTTTTTTGGTCTTTGGAGATAACATTACAGAAATATTTAGGGGTGAAATGTCATGATGTCTACAATTTATTTCCAAAGAGTTCAGTAAAACAATGTTAACAACTGGTGAATCTAGGGAAAGTATACAAGTGTTCACTGAGGTATTCTTTCAACATTTCCGTGGGTTTGACACTTCCAAATAAAAACGGAGAACTCACTGAACTCTACCTGTAAAACTAATAATATACTATATGTTAATTAATTGAATTTAAATTAAAAAATAAAAACTGAGAATTCTCCCTCTCTTCAAGAAATAAGTGCTAGGGAGCTGTATACCTTTCTTGACAGTTGCTTGAAGACTCTGTTGTACCAAACTAAGCAGATGGCTAAAAGATAACAAAACTTATTACCATCCATGTTTTGAATAAGGCTGATGCTACATATGAATTAAAATTAAATATCTTTTATTGCCAAAATCTGTTGATCCTAAATATACAGCTGGAACAAAATCACTTAAATCATAGACTCTAAATAATTGGGGAAGTATGGGTAAAGGGTATAAGGGAATTCTCTGTACTATTCGGCAACCTGAAGTGTGAAATTATTTCAAAATAAAAAGTTAAAAATTTCTTTCATATCGAATAAAAAACTCAAGAAGTATAAAGTACTCCAACACTCTGCTGAACAATTTGAGTCTACAAAGTATAATATGCAAAACTCCTTCCTAAGAAACTGTATAACAAGTTACAGAAAAGATATGTCATATTGGCAACAGCCTTTTATATAGGCAGGGACTCAAGAGTGGATCTGACTGTGTTAGCTACCCAATCCTGAAATTAGACTGTAAAAATAAAGGTGTTTTTAAAAATAAATGTTTCAGAGTACTTTAAAACAGCAAAAATAATTCAGCAGCAATTTCTTGAGGTCCTTCTGCGTGCATTCCTTAAGTCCAAGGATCACAGAGGGTGAAAAATAATTGAAAGAAATAACATCTAGAAGGCTAACTGCTGACACCTTGCTGCATCTGTAAATACGCCTTCGCCTTCTTATTTTTCCCCACAAAATTATGCAAATTTCCTGTGGCAAAGAATGCTAGTCATCAATCCCAATATCTATTCTCCTCTTCCTCCTTAATAACAGACCCCCCAGCTTTAAGCTAGGCAAATAAATGCCTGGAATTAAGACTATATTCTTTAGAGTGGAAGACTAATATGTAAGAGAAAGTAATATGTGCAATTTCTAGATATGTTTAAAGGGCAAGGGTATTTCCTTCTTTGCTTTTTTTTCCACTTAGCTAGAATGTAAGAATGATGGCTGGAGGTCAGGGGGCCTAACTGGGCCCTGAGACAGTATGCTAGGATGGCCGTGGCAGATTGTTTTATTTTCTTATAATCCTTCCTTTCCTTCCTGTTGTTGCCGTGATTATATGACAGGAGTATACCTCTCTGCTCCACTGACTCTGGGCATGGTCTGAACTTGTTTTGGACAATGACATGTTAGGACCCATGACACAAACAAAAGCTTTAAATATGCTTGTGTGGTTTGGCCTGCCTTCTTGCTTTTGCCATCTGCCTTGAGAAAAATATGGCGCAGTAGCTGCTGGTCCCATGATGAGGAGACACATGTAAGAGTTCTGAACCCAAATACCTGGAATCAAGCCAAGCTCAGCTGATCCCCAGCCAAGTTCAGCAGAGCCACATCCCATGAATGAAAAATAAGTGCTTTGAAGCTATTGAGTTTTTAGAGTTATCTGTTATGTGGCATATCTGTAACAACAGTTGACTGATACAATGCCAGGGCAAAAAGATGGGAAGCTGGAACCACAATGACTGGGGAGCTACCACCCTAGTCCCACACTGCCTAGCTCTGAATTTCTTTTACCTGAGAAAGAAAAACTTTTCTCTTGTCTTTTTAAGCAGCTATTAGGTTTTTCTGAAATTTGCAGCCAAAACCAGTCCTAATACATTTCCCATTCTTTTTTTTTCAAGATTTTATTTATTTGACAGAGAGAGCGAGCCCACGAGCAGGGGGAGCAGCAGAGGGAGAGGGAGAAGCAGGCTCTCTGCTGAGCAGGGAGCCCGATGCAGGACTTGATCTCAGGACCCTGGGATCATGACCTGAGCCGAAGGCAGACACCCAACTGACTGAGCCACCCAGGCGCCCACGTTCCCCATTCTTTACACAATAGCTCCAACAGGCAGCTCGCTGAGATTTCTGTCACTAGGCTGCCTTAACTTTTTTCCATCTTCCTTTCCTCTCCTTTCTTACCTCACTCCTATTCATCTCCACTTTCCCATATTCTTCTTAAATCCCAACCTCTCATGTTATCCCCACATCATCTCTACCCCATCTGTGCCATGGTTTTCAAACTGCTTTGGTCCAACCCATATCCATCCCACTAAGATCTTAGCAGGACATCACAACAGACAGCAAAAATACGGAATCCAAACCTAATACTTTCATTAGACAAGACAGATGCCATACCTGTGGGGGCTTAGGAATAAATCTTTTATATAGGTTTTATCGTTTAATAAAATTGAAATCTGGTTAGCAAAAGCCATGTTTTAAGCATCTACTATGTCTCTAGATAGCATCTTTTAAGCACCTACTATGACATGAAAGGTTTGTTAAAAGAAACCTGGATTGGGGCATCTGGGTGGCTCAGTCGGTTAAGCGTCTGCCTTCGGCTCAGGTCATAATCCTGGGGTCCTGGGATCAAGCCCTGCAACGGGCTCTCTGCTCTGCGGGAGTCTGGAGTCTGCTTCCCCCTCTCCCTCCACCAGCCGCTCCCCCTGCTTGTTGCACCTTCACTCTCTCTATCAAATAAATAAAATCTTAAAAATAAAATCCTAGATTAAATGCTATTTAAAATAGCATTTTAGGGGCGACTGGGTGGCTCAGTCATTGAGCATCTGCCTTCGGCTCAGGTCATGGTTCCAGAGTCCTGGGATCAAGCCCTGCATCAGGCTCTCTGCTTGGCGGGAGGCCTGCTTCTCCCTCTCCCACTCCCTCTGCTTGTGTTCCCTCTCTCGCTGCCTCTCTCTGTCAAATAGATACATAAAAATCTTTAAAATAAATAAATAAATAGCATTTTATTATTAAGAGTACGCTTATCGTTACGAACACTGAGTAATCTATAAAATTGTTGAATCATTACATTGTACAACACCTGAGACTAATATAACACTGTATGTTGATTGTATTTCAATTTTAAAAAGTTATTTAACATATTAAAAACTAATAAAATAGGATTTTAGGGATGCCTGGGTGGCTCAGTTGGTTAAGCGACTGCCTTTGGCTCAGATCATGATCCCGGGGTCCTGGGATCGAGTCCTGCATCGGGCTCCTTGCTCGGCGTGTGGGGGAGGGCTGCTTCTCCCTCTGCCTGCCACTCCCTCAGCTTGTGCTCTCTCGCTCTCTGACAAATAAATAAAATCTTTTTAAATGATGATAATAAAATAAAATAGGATTTTACTCATATGACAAATGAACGTAGGTCTTCAGTAAATCAGGAAGTGAGATGGAGAAGGCATTGTGTTATATGAATCTGTCAGACACTTAGGCAGGCAATATGAAGATAGTTTTTACATATTTTTTTATGAATTACTTACAGACTCCTTGATTTTGACTGCCCCTTCAGAATATTAGCCTCCATAAACTCTTATTTCCGTTAGCAGAAACTGATAAATATCATATATACTTTAGCTCTATACACACTGTTACTAAGGCTAGTGGATGAGCTGACAATAACAAATATCTCGATAAACAACTGTGACATCATCTTCAGCCACCAGACCAGGGAAGTAGCTTTTGCAGAGCAGAGTGTATTAAAATTTTAATAATGTTAGGATAATGTCTTGAATAAAAATGTCCTAGAAAGTAAGAGGCTAACCTTGTATTTTATTATTGTACATTATATTTACCTTTCAGTAAAAGCTGTCTTACAGAAATATGATTAAATGCCACACTTCCCCTTCCGTCTCTAATCTCCCCATTACTTCCTCTCTTCCCAACACATCTGGAGGCCAGTGAGCTGATGGACTCTGTCTGTGTGTGTGCACATATGTGCAAGCGGGTGAGTGGGCGGTGGTGGCAGGATCTGCAAAGTCCAGATTTGGGCTCTCGTGTTTTCAGCCGTTCAGGAAACTAGAAGCCTCTTATTAACTTCTCAATTAAAATAAATTAGCACCAAAAAATGTAATGATTTCAGTTTGGGTCGAACAGATATTTCAACATGATTGACCATCAATCAATTACTCCTCCCTTTAGCCTCTTACTCAGCCTTGTAACCTCTGTCTGCTCAGAAATAAAGCAAAAAGGTGAAATGGACTATTTGGGGTTTCTTTTCCTCTTTTCCATATGGCAATTCACGTACACTTACTTGCATCTTGAATTCACAGGAATTTGGAAAATGCAAAATATGCTATTTATCTTGTGCTTATAACGTGGAAAATTTCGAAATTAAGTTATCTTGCTCCCTAGAGATATTACAGGCCCAAATCAGACCCCTAAAGCTTAAAACAACTGAGGGATGACTCTTGGTAAGTGATTCCCAACAGAAAGGCAGTATATAACATAGTGATTCAGAGTGTGGACTTTAGAGTCACAAGTGGTGTGAGTCTCAACTCAGCCACTAACTAGCTATATGACTTCGAGCACAATTCTTAACTTTTCTGAACTTTATTTTCCACAGCTGGGCAACACTTTTGGGTCACATATGTACAATACTTAGCTTATATCTGACTTTTAGTAAGCACTCAATAAATACTAGCTATTGTTACTATTATCAGAACTTTCTCTTAGAGGACTTCTTTTATTCCAGTTCCACAAGTGAGATTTCGATCATCTTGACCCCAAGCCTTACATCCAGGGGAAACGGAAGCATGCTGCTGAGAAGTATTCAGAAGAGGATGCCAGTAATAAACTCAGAGAAGGAGATTCTGCAGGCTCTCAATCCTCCCTGCTTTTGGTCATCTAATACTACTCTTGTGTTACCAGTCTTTGTAAAATCCAGTTCTAGAGAAAGAATCACGCTGAAAAAAGTCAGCTTCTTGAAGTTATAATGTCATATGTTATGTCTTCAAAGCTGGCATATTACCTGGTTGCTTTTGTCGGGGTTTTGGCAAATTGGTCACACATGTATGTGGGCACATGAGGATATTGCAAGGATGTAGAGATCCCTCCAGAAAGAGCTGTTTCGTCTGAGATATGTGGATCCCTCCTAGAGGAGTTTTTGGCAATGTATTGGCAGGCACCAGAGCAAGACAATAAACACCCACTTGATGAATGCTATCGATTGCCTAGAAAAATACAAACAAAAATGTTCAGTGAGATTAATTTTACTACACTTGACATCCTCCTAACGTAATCCATTATTCTACTCTAGGATTTTTCCTTTTCTGTCCATTCTAGGTCTAGAATCTGCTAGATTATTAAAATCTCATACACCTGAAGCTACCTGTTTCCTTTAGCAATGGCAGAGATCAACAGAGGATGGGTAAGAAATGATCTAAATGGGACAGCGGTGGATACTGATTTGTAAGCCTCAATATGTTCTCCCTTGAATGGTAATGTCCAAAACCTAGACATTTGTTTCAGTTCTTTTAATATACAACATAGCTCAATTCAATAGAGGCCAAGTATTTTTATTATGAACACAAGAGAGCCCTGGAAGTGGGCCCCTGCTTAACTGGTTCACCAAGTTACCCAGAATCCTGTCTACAAAACAACGGGGTGAGGCCCACCGCACACTGAACCCTGGAGGCCACTGGCACCTCCACTTCCGGCCACACACCTGTGCCCCTGCTGAAGATCAGCTGTGCGTGCTTCCACACCTTTTATGCTTGCTCTTGTGTTCACATAATTTAACTACTCCATCAATTGATAAAACAGAGGGTAAAAGGACAGAGTTGTGCTTTGTTTGGAAAGACTCATTAAAAAACTATTGCTGGGAGGCACCTGGGTGGTTCAGTTGTTAAGCGTCTGCCTTCGGCTCAGGTCATGATCTCAGGGTCCTGGGATGGAGCCCCATGTCGGGCTCCCTACTCAGCGGGAAGCCTCCTTCTCCCTCTCCCTCTCCCTCTGCCTCTGCTTGTGTTCCCTCTTTCACTGTGTCTCTCTCTGTCAAATAAATAATAAAAATAAAATCTTTAAAAAAAAAACACCAAAAAACTATTGTTGGTAGACACAAGTTAATTCTAAAAGGTAAGGATTATGTATTCTAGTCCTTTTGCACATACTTGCATTCTAGTCTAACTTAAAGGAAATGAAAACAGAAACTACAGACCATGCAATTTGATGTAGTTTATGGAAGTAGGTTGACCTGGAATGCAAACTGGTGTACTCATACTCACACTGCTCTCTATCAAATGAATGCAGATATTTATATGTTTTGCGTAAAAATTTAATACTTGAGGAATTTCTCATTTTTATGATTCTCTGCTTCAACCACCTTTTAAAACTAACTGACCAACTATTAATACCAGTTCCAAACATACTAGCTGAGAGAGTTCTATTGTACCGCTCATAAGTCTTACTGAAAAAGAGATACAGCCTTAGAAGAATGGACCAATGGTCATAAAAGATGGACAAGACCTTTTATTAAAACAACTTAACAGTGCAAAGGAATAAACCTGAACATCATATTCCTCAGACTATCCTACTAATCAACAGAGACAACTGGGAAACAGAAAGTCTGGCAGGGATCCTAAGTCTCTGGTATTTTAGAATATACAGAGAGTTAGCAAATGTTATTACCTGAAGCCTGGATTCCCCACTGAAAATATACCATCTGGCAAGTCATCAATCGACCACCTTCTTTAAAAGGTGCTGAGTTAGGTATTCAGTTTATATTACACATAGATCTGGAGTTAACCTCTGGCCTCTAACCTACCAGAACATATGGGGTCCTTACTGCTCTACTGTAGATCCAAATACTCCAAGCTGAGAAGCTACAGATACTGAGGAAATAATGCCCTTTTATTTCATGCCCAAACCAGACCCCGAATGACGTTTACAAGAATCTGGATTAGTAAGTAAGCAGTGCATGTAATTCCTATAATTGCTCTCCAGGGAAAAATAAGAAATATTTTAGGGGAATTTCAGTTTCCTATAATAGGAGGGGAAAATGTGTAATTCATCACAACATTCTACCATTATGACTCACAATTCATTCCAAATGAAATAAGCATTTTGTTTGTTCAAAAACATGAATGGTATGAAAAATATTCTTTGCAGGTCTGATTCTTAGCCATGTTTTGGAGATCAGCCCAGTCCCACCTCTTTATAGTCTTTTCTGACCAGCCTATCCTCAGTAGATTCTCTTTCTTATCTTTTCACTACAAATAGCCTATGCTCTACCAGCTGATAATTCAGAACCACAGACCCTGAAGATAAAAAGAAATCTTAAAAGTCATCTAGCCCTATCACTCATCTCAGGCTTGCATCATTTCTATACCATTACTACTAACTTGCAGTGAATATATCCAAATGCCCCAAGCAGACAAGTAATAAATGTTGGGAACACTTCCAATAACACAGACTTTTCTTTGCCAAAGACAGTCCATGCTTTCTTTGGACCATACATTATCCAACAAATATTTACTGAGTCTACTATGTGTATGTGCTGGCATGACTCTCAGGATCTAGGGACGGAGTTGTGAACAAAACAGAAGAGGTCTTGGCCTTCATGGGCCTTATACTGTAGTGGATGTAGAAAACAGTAACTATAAACACATGGTGATGAATCCTGAGTAGACAAATAGTGAAAGGGAATGTTATTTAAAACAGTGGGTCTCTCTAAACTCCTTACTGGAGATTATGCTTATGATGATTTTTTTTTTTTAAAGATTTTATTTATTTGAGAGAGAGAGAGAGAATGAGAGATAGAAGGCACAAGAGGGAAGAGGGTTAGAGGGAGAAGCAGACTCCCTGCTGAGCAGGAAGCCCGATGTGGGACCGATCCCGGGACTCCAGGATCATGACCTGAGTCAAAGGCAGTCGCTTAACCAACTGAGCCACCCAGGCGCCCTGATTTTTTTTTTTTTTAAAGATTTTATTTGACAGAGAGAGAGACACAGCGAGAGAGGGAACACAAGCAGGGGGAGTGGCAGAGGGAGAAGCAGGCCTCCTGCGGAGCAGGGAGCCCAATGTGGGGCTCGATCCCAGGACCCTGGGATCATGACCTGAGCCGAAGGCAGACGCTTAACAACTGAGCCACCCAGGTGCCCCTATAATGATTATTTTTGATGTTAATAATAATCACCATCGTTATTTACCAAATAAACCCTGTATACTTCGAATAACGATCTCACTGAATCCCTCCCATAGCTCTATCATTTTATCCCCACCTTACAGGTTAGGAAATAAATTCAGTAAGGTTAAGTAACATCTGATACGGAGTGGCACTGTGATTCAAAGGCTGTAATTTCAAATGAAGACTAGACTCTTCTCATCATTCTACCCGTCCAACCTTCCCAACTAGTGATGTATCCCTTATACAGAGCCCAGGTCTTTCTCCTTCCCTAATGGTTATCTCACCTAGCTCTCTAACTCCATAGGAAAGCTCCTTCAGCATTAAGAACATCTTACATTTGCTTGGGTCCCTGCATGCTAGGCACCCATTACAGAACATAATGTAATAGGACTGTAGTTGTTGACAAGTGGATTGATTTCTGTCAAAGATGTGTTCCACACATGGTCAATTTAAACTTTCATGGTTACTAAACACTCAGGCACAAAAAAAAGTGAAAGAATTTGCTGAGGCAGGTCAATTCATTGTTCTTGGCAACCTGAGCAGAAAAACAGTATGTAGACCAGAGGGAGAAATGGTACTAATTATATTATTTTGCTAAGAGTATCCAGAATGTTTGAGTACTGACTGGCAAGAAAAAAATAAGGTGTCATAACTAGTCCAACAAAGAAAAGACTTACTCAGTGGTTGCTGCCACCTCTGACAGGCAAAGCCAACCTGTCCTGACAGATACCAAGGGTGTGTGCTCACCTGCAACACTCGGCTCATCCACTGGAAACTGTCTTCCTCTGAGGCGTCGGGTCTTTGTTCCGCAACCACCACAATGCGCTCATCATAAAATACAGACACAGAAAACACAGCAATTCTAAGAGAGACAGATCAAACACGTCAGGACTCCCTTCACAACCAGACCTATTTGCTTTGCTCAGTTGGAATAACAGAGAGGAGACATCCCCACCACACTACCCAGAAGTGAGTCATTTAGAAAAGAAAATGCCACAGTCATTACCATTAAAACGAGGACTCAGAACATGTACTAATAAGCACCACTGGCATGAACACTGGGACACAGTGATAAATAGGACACAGTCCCTGTCTTCATGGAGCTTGCATGTCAGAGACAGAACAATATAAAATAATGTCATGTTGTAGTATACACTGGGAAGAAAAGCAAGGCAGGGCGAGGGGCAGAGAGGTGTGTGGGGTGGCCGCACCGCTGAAGGCAGGGTGGGGGGGGAGTGCCTCCCTGAGGAGCGGACACTGGAGCAGAGACCTGAGTGAAGTGAGGACGTGAGCCATGCGAAGATCTGGAGGAAGAGGTTTCCGGGCAGAAGGAACGGAAAGCGAAAAGGTTCTGAGGTAGGAACGAGCTTGGCAGGTTGGAGGAATGGTAAGAAGGCCAGTATGCCTGGAGCAGAGTAGTGAAGCAGAGAGTGGCGGGGAGAGGTCAGACCCAGACCAGGGCAGGCAGGGGGACCTGGCAGGCCAAGGGGAGGGGGATGTTCTGAGTGAGGTCTCCGCTCGAACGTCCCCTTACTAGTGAGGCATTCCCAGACCACCCTATACAAACCGGCAAGCACGCTCTCACTCAACCCCGTGTTCTCGATTTCCCTGTGTCTGCAGTTACTGTCTGTTTCCCCTGATGAGAACGTGAACTTCACAAGGGCAGAAACCTGGCCTGTTTTGTTCACTGCCACGTGTCCAGAGCAGTGGCATACAGTTGGCACCCAATAAATATTTGTTGAATGGATGCCTGAAAGAATGGGAAGTCACTAGAGAGCTGAATATGCCCTTCTTTCCTCCATTTCTTCCACATGTATTTATTGAACACCTACTGTGTGCCAGGTGCTGTGCTGAGTGCTGGGGATGTAACAGTGACCAAAGAGAGAAGGTCTAGTGCCCCACGGAGTTTACATCTCAGAGGAAGCCATGTCATTACAAAAACTACACATTTTAGGAACTGGTTCTGTATGGTTTCATTAATTTTTCCTACTTCTTAAAAAACTAAAGGGATACCAAGAGTGCTTTAAATACATATATCCATGATTATAAAACTACTGGATAGGTATCAACTACTCAAGTATGTACCAAATATCTTTTCTTGTGTTAATAAGCAAAGAAAAAAGGATTTGTAATTGACTTTATCCATGGAATTTGAAATTAGCACTTGTGTACTATGTCATTCTGTGTTAAAATGTTGTAATAATTTAGTTAGAGATGAGTAAGAGAAACAATTCTCAGATGTAAAATTCCTACAATGTAGCATCTATCTTAATTAGCTTGAATGGCACTACTTTTTTTTTTTTTTAAAGATTTTATTTATTTATTTGAGAGAGAGAATGAGATAGAGAGAGAGCATGAGAGGGGAGAGGGTCAGAGGGAGAAGCAGACTCCCTGCTGATCAGGGAGCCCGATGCGGGACTCGATCCCGGGACTCCAGGATCATGACCTGAGCCGAAGGCAGTCGCTTAACAAACTGAGCCACCCAGGCGCCCGAATGGCACTACTTCTATATTGACAGAATGTAGGAAGTTGAATGTTTTAGAATTCTCCAGAGTCCTCAGAATTCAACAAAGAGTAATAATTAAAAATTGAAATATAGGATATGGTCATATTTTATTCCTCTCAATTTCAACCCAAAAACCCGCCGTGTTAAGATAAATATTCAAAGGCCAACTCCTGCTGTGCTTAGCCAAAAATAACCCAATCACCTAGAGACTCTACAGAATACAACTCAAATCACCCTGTAAAGATACATTTAGATTCCACTGGAAGTGCTAACATTTGAATTTTTACTACTCACCTTCCTCTATAAACAGTCTTTATTGATTCAACAGCCAATCCAGTAGCAACAATGTCATCAGCATTATGTCTTCGACCACTAACCATCAGTAACCCATCCATTTTTCCAACTACGAACACCAAACTGCCCTGAAAGGTAACAATAATTTACCTTGATTTCCATTATTTAAAGAGTAAAACAGACATTTTACTTCCTACCTTGAGTTAGGGCTTATCAAAAATGTAAGAAAACAACACTGTATTTTATGGCTTCTAAAAAAGGTGTTTCATAACTCAAAAATCAGGAGGGAAACCAGTAGCATATTACAATTAATTACACCATATAAGAAAGGAATTCGTTGGTATTTATTCTCAGGGAGGAATTTTATAAGAAAACAACTAGGATTCCACACAAGCACAGTTTATTTTCCCAGACATGATTATGTACCTATTCATAAGATGGATGCAAAGAAAAAAATGGTTAACTCATTTAATACTGGAATTAGGAAGAAATTAAAACAGCTGAATGTGAGAACGCCTGTTTTAGCTTTACAAGGGTAATGCTGTTTCCATTTGGCAAGATTAGAAATAGGCTAATAAAGGTCTAAGAAACACTGGAGGAGCCTCTCCTTTCCAAGAAGATAACACAGCTGCAATGCCCTAAAAGCATCACTGTACAAATAATACTTACCAATAATTCCCCTAGACCCATTTGCAATAAGTTGACTTTTCCGTTCATTATACAAGTCCTAAATTCCCTGGACAATTTACACATATTCAATTATCTAGTAGTCATCTCCACATGAATGTCACCCATTGAATTATCGCACACAATGTAGTGTCATTCACCTACTGGGTTATGTAAGTAAAGTAGAACTTCTAGCCTCAGGAAGCTACTGGTCAATCTCAGAAGATGGAAAGGAACCAGCCATTTCTAACAGTCTGAAAAGTGCTATGGTGGAAGTAAGTAAAGAGAAAGACAGACACAGATTGTCCATTTCTCCATTTCTTTCACAGCAGAATTTTTAGCTGGGCATGGCTGACCAAAATAAAGACTGTATTTCAGTGGCCCCTGACCCATGAGACATAAGGGGAAGTGTTGCTCAGCAGCGTCAGGAAATCTTCCTTAAGAGATGGTAGGACTGCATTCTATCCTGTTTCCTGGAATGCAGACGGGACGCCGCCGCTCCATCCTGGACCTCAGTCATGGAGAGGTAAACCAAAAGGGGCTGGGTTTTGGAGAACTTTTTGGTGCCGAGAGGAGAAGTCAAGACAGTGGTTATAGATTTCTCTTTCTAGGACAGCGATCCTCTTAGAGGTGTGCCCCTCACGCCCCTGCCCCCATAAATGGTGGGGAAGAAATAAAATTAGATCTTTCCTTACATAACTTGAGTTGGTGAGAGGAGAAGAAAGAGTAAGGAGGTAATTAGAGTTGGATGGAGATATATGGGCTTAACTATGATCACAAATATCTGTTCCTGACAAAATACAATCAAACTTCCCATTATGTCATGTAAAACCCTTCATGATCTGCTTGCCTCTCTACCTTCCTTATTGGCTCATGAAGCTAACTGTGAGCTCTCTGAGAAGAGACTTTGCATTTTAATTGTCTCTGTCAGTGCCTGTAAACACCATTTGCTGGAAAGCAAACTGATTTCATGGTGTAGTCCTGCTAGTTTGTATGAAAATGCTTTGTACACAATTATGGTGTCCCTTTGCTAAGGTAACTTTTCTCAGCACTCTTCTAACTTACTGAAACATAGAAGTCAAATCAAAGAAATGGAGCAAGAATAAATGAAGAGTTTTTCTTTGAAAGTAAAAGTCTTAGTTTGAAGGAGTCAAATGAACTTGGGTAATGAAAGCAATAAATATTAACTCAGTTTATGACATTCTTACAAAAACTGCTCTAAATCTAAGAGAGGCCCTGGAACACTCTTGAACTAATCCAAATTTCTTCTGTTCTGTGACAGAAACTTTTGTAAAGTACAAATATCTGGATCAGATACACCAAAACAAACATGAATGTATCACTTACCGGCCCTACAAACCCCAGAAGTCCTGACCGGATGAAGGGCACATCCCCAACAGGAGAGCCTGCAGAATTCACTGGAATCACCTAAACGACAGAAAGCAGTGAAAATCTTCGTTTCTTCTTAAAATATGTATTTGATTTTTATTTTTTATTTATTTTTTTAATTATGTTATGTTAATCACCATACATTACATCATTAGTTTTTGATGTAGTGTTCCATGATTCATTGTTTGCATATAACACCCAGTGCTCCATGCAGTACGTGCCCTCTTTAATACCCATCACCAGGCTAACCCATCCCCCGACCCCCTCCCCTCTAGAACCCTCAGTTTGTTTCTCAGTGTCCATAGTTTCTCATGTACGTGATTTTTAAAAAGTCTTTAAAAAAACTACAATGGTAATATACACTTGTTGAAAACTTAAAATTAATGTCAGTATTCCCACCTTTAAGGGATAAACATTTAAAATTTGTTGTAAATCTCTTGGACTTTTTATAGATAGACTTAGACTTAATATTAACATATTAAGAATTTATTTTTATAAAAGGAATCATATTATATATACTGTTTTGCAACCTGCTTTTTCCCATACTATATATTTTTCACATAACATGTATTTTGGATATCTTTACAAGTTGGTGATTGTTGCTCTAGCTCTCTTTGTTTAATAGTTCTGTGATACATCATCACACGGGGGACGGGATAGTGTAGCCCTTGAAGTCAGATGTACGTTCGATTTTTGGCTCTGCCATTTACTAGTAAGTTCCTGGACTTCTTGAAGCCTCAGGTTCTTTGACCATAAAATAGAGCTCCCAATGCCTCTCACAGGTTTAGGGTAAAGATTAAGGGTAAATAGATCTGGAGATGTAAGCACAATGTTTGGCCCAGAGTTGGTCCTCAGGAAACTATGAGAATTTAGTACTATTACAGCATAAGCAGTCTTTCTGGCTAGGCAGGCCATCTAATTTTACTGTTATAAATATGCTTTACCGAATACCACTGTACAGATTTTTGTGTATTTGTACAAAAGGCATGAGCCCTTTCAAGTTTTTCTTACCAGTAGTTTATTTTTATTTTTAAAAAGATTTTATTTATTTGACAGAGAGAGAGAGAGAGAGAGGGAAAGAGAATCTGAAGCATACTCTGCACTGAGCACAGAGCCCAACATGGGGCTTGATCCCACAACCGTGAGATTGTGACCTCAGCCCCAACCAAGAGTTGGACTCTGACTGAGCCACCCAGGCACCCCTGCCAGTAGCTTATTTTTAAAGATATACTTTATTTTATTTTCTAGTCATGACTAGGTCTTCTGTCCTACTGAAAGGTTAACCACACCGGAAAACTCTCTCAGGATTTAAATATAAGAATTCAGGAAGAAAAATATTAGAAACTTTAATTTGCAAAACCAAGGCAATAGTTTTCTCCTTTTTTTGGTTAGGATTTTTATTCTACTTTGTTATCATTAAATTTATACTGCTGGTTTCAAAATTTCTTCATCATTAAGGACCTAGCAGTTTGGTATTAAAGTCTGAGAATTTTGGCTAGGCAGTTCCTCTTGTATGAAAGGCAACATTATAAAATATTATCAGTATCTTCAAACACTGCTTGAGTATCTTGTTTATGGTAAGGAAAATGCAACGACGAAAAATTTAGATATTGGGAACCTAGGTACTCCAAGCATTTAAAAAGAAGAGAAGTAGGGTGAGATTTAAAGTAGTAAAATGTATAGACACTCAGCACAGGTAATTAGTCACCTGTGAGAGCGAATCAAGAGCCTGGCAGTAAACCTATGCCTCAAGAGTTTATCAATTTCCACTCCTATCAAGAGGAATTGGTCACAACTTTTGAAGGCAGGCCAAGATTGCAGTAGTAATAATGATGATGTGATGATGGTAATAATATATATTATACCATTTTAGGCTGCGTAAACACAGCTCAGGAGTGCTTAATCTTTTCTAGCTACCACACTATTCATATAGATAACACTGTCCTGTCAGTTACATCTGTTGCTACATAAGTTTGTAATGGTATGTACCAATAGTGGTATGGTAGACAGATGTGCCCTGCCATACTGAGACTGAGAATCAATTAGAGAAAAAGGAAGCTCAAAGAACTGAAAATTGGTAGTGGTCATATTATAAGCCCGGTCTAATATAAAGGCCCATAAAATGGAGTTTTCTGTTCCCTAAAAGCTACCCTGAGGCAGGTTAATCCCAATTATGAAATACAGACAATTCATTATACCTGTTCTGATTTCCAGGCTCACCAGGCAAACTCTCATTACAATTTGTCTTCACATGCACAACTATCTGCAGGAAAACAACGTGCTAGTTCTACTAGAATATGAGCTATTTGAGGAGCTTTGTTTATTTTCCTGAGGTACCACAAGCATCTAGAATACTGCCAGACACACAGGAGGTGCTCAGTAAGTATTTGTTGACTGAAAGACTGAATAATGGGAACAATAAGCCCCTGTAACAGGACAGTTCTTCATTAGTAACCCGGTGTTCTGGCTGACATCAGTCTTCACAGGCTCAGGTTAACCTGAGTCTTACTGGAGTCCAACTGGAGAGATGGATCTACTGTCAATGTACTCTTAAAATTAAATATGTGGGCTTACAAAGCTCAAGTATGGCATATTCACCAGACTGAACTTTTGTGAGGCCTCTTACTCTTCATTTACTTGACAGGTAAACAGTACTTCCTGCAGGCCGGGGCTGTTCTAAGTCCTTTATAAACATCAACTCATTTAGTCCACAACAATCCTGTGAGGCAGCTAACTATGATCTCTCACATTTTAAAGATAAGGAAATTGAGGATCAAAGGGGAAGGGAGGGAAAAATGAAACAAGATGAAACCAGAGAGGGAGACAAACCATAACAGACTCTTAATCTCAGGAAACAAACTGAGGGTTGCTGGAGAGGAGGGGGCGGGGGATGGGGTGGCTGGGTGATGGACATTGGGGAGGGTATGTGCTATGGTGAGCACTGTGAATTGTGTAAGACTGATGAATCACAGATCTGTACCCCTGAAGCAAATAATACATTATATGTTAATAAAAAATAAAAAAAAAATTAGAACAGGGGAAAAAAAATAAAGATAAGGAAATTGAGGCACAGAAGAGGTTAAGGAACTCCCCCAAGGTCAGCTAATAAGTGGCAGAGTTAGGATCTGAACTCACGCAGCCTAGCTCCAGAGTATACTCTCTCAGCTGCTCCATTATAGGCCAGCTCATCTGACTTTGTGACACCCTGACCTCACCAAGTAAGCTCCCCCCCAGATTTTCATATCATGTACCTCAAATGTATTTTTTGTCACACCAGCAAGCCCAAAGTACATCATGCCTCCTGTTCTAGAGCTGACACAGATTTCTCCAATTTCATCTGTTTTGCAGAGTTGGGGAGGTCCATCAGGTCTCACAATGCACATCATCCCTAGTGTGCAGAAAATACAGTTAAAGGACAGAGATTCTGGAAACTTTGTAAAATAACCGCTTCATCCCCATGAACCCAGGAAAGTTTTGCATTTACTGAGCGGCATTAAGTAAGAATACCAAACAGGAATGTCAAAAATAGACCTGATACTACATAGGTGTATCTGAAATTTCCATTTTTTAGCTCTGATAAATCTTTAAATCTTTAAAATTCAGCAAATAAAACTACAACAGATGCAGACCGAAGCTTTCAAAGATAGTAACACATTTTTTTTGAAGATTTTATTTATTTAAAGATAGAGAGAGTGCATGTCTGCAGGAGAAGGGGCAGAGGGAGAGGGAGAGAATCTCAAGCAGACTCTGCACATAGCACAGAACCCAACAACGGGGCTCGATCTCATGACCCCAAGGATCATGACCTGAGCCGAAATTGAGAGCCGGATGCTTACCGATTGAGCCACTCAGGTGCTCCCAAAGACAGTAACATGTTAAAAATGACTACAAAGTCCAAAGAAACGGGTTAAATTAATTTACCCCTGGGCAGATCAAACTCACTCACAGAAGCAGTATGCTCTAACTTTCTGCCAGCCCCAATGTCTTGGCAATTACAGTGAAAACCAGACAACTTTAGTGTAACTCAGTACACTTAAGCTTTCCATACGAAAAACTGTAATCAAATCATTCAATTAAATCATACAATACTGCTGGAAAGTAAGTATAATTAGAATCACCGAACTGTTAGAGAGGCTTTGAGAACTTAAGTGACTACGAAATTTTGTATTCCTGGGTGTGGGTCTCATATTTTATCAGGCTCTACTATCTCCAATGACAAATCTTTATGAAAAACCAAAAGGTGCTCCGGAGGGAACTCACCACCAGGCATTACGTGGCCCACATCCTGGACCGTCAGTGCTGAATTTTTATCTTCAGTATTGACCCGTATTACCCCATAGCTCAATCCATTCATTGAGAGAATAGCTCTTCCTGGCAAAGGGGCCCCTGGAACTCCAGGCCTGAAAACAAAATAAACTCATCAAATGTGGCAAATTACATGATATCAAGATAAAAGTACAAATATGTAAGAAAGCAAATTTCCTCTGGCTACCACACACCAAAAAATCCTCCTTTTCTCTACCCAAAACATGTCAAATTAATCAACTTCGCATGTACAAAGCATGGTTCACATTCATTCGGGCGGAAAAAGTAAATTTTAAATCCAATATTAAGAATATATTGGCTTGGGTATACTTTCCATACTTAAGCTGTAATCAAGAATAGCCTATTTGTAGTTTAAGATGCTAACGAAGGAGTCTGAAGAGCAAAACAGCACAGAAAAAGAACTCATTCACAAATACGAGATGAGAATAATTAAAGCAAATTTTCAGTTTACCAGTTAACCCTTAGGGCAAGAGTGGGAAAAATAAACGAGATGCTTCAAACTGCTTTACAAAGTCATTTTCACTTTCAGGCTGATGAAGCAGAAAATTAGTTAGCAGCCCTTGTCAGTGCCCGGTAAATACTGCACATTTGATCAGAGCTGTAACATACGTCAAGGGCACTGACATTCTGGATGATACCTGCGGATTGCAACAGTCATGGCTTCAGCAGAAGTAGCACACGGACAGATGGCCTCAGGTTTCAGTCCATGGCTTTGGAATAGACTCAGGAAGGCATCACAGGACGACACAGACCCTAAGGAGTTGGAACAGATCGACGTGAAAGCTGAAATTGTCATTCTCATTACTGTGGAAAACTGGTAAAGAGTGGAGAACTGATGCATTTGCTTCTCATGAGAACTCTCACTGTACATCATTACTTCCATACAGATATTTTATTGTACCTGTGAGATGGTGGATACGTTTCAAGGACAAATAAATGCTCATCCGGCCCATAAAATAGGTCACTGACACTATTCAAAGTCACAATTTGGGATAGGGCTGTTCCTACCAAACTGCCCAATCAATAGCAGAGATGCACTGCAGCCAATAGGCAGCCGGTCTGGAAGCGAGCAACTCTTCCTGAAGTAACTCGTTTAGCTAGTATAGTGCTGATATTCTCTTCTATGTGATATTCTCCAATTTGTTTCTTATTAAGGTCAATCCCACACCTGTGTTTATACCAAGATGACTACTATGCCGTTGTGACTACTGATAGAAATCCATTTACGGCAAAGAGCACAGTTTCTAAGGCTTTACCTGATTCTACTCAGGGTGTCTGTGCTTGTAAGGAAAAGCAGGTAACATGGTAAGATCTCTAAAAGCTTTCCCAAAGTCTCGGATTTGTTCATAGGGGTAATTTACATAAAGGCCTAACACCTGGTTATAGCAAGTCACCATCTTATCACTCCTTGTAGTCACATGATAGAAAAAGGATATAAATGAGTGAGCAAGAAGGGGTGTTTTTTGTTGTTGTTTTGTTTTTAGAGATTTTGTTTATTTACTTGACAGAGAGAGAGAGAGCACAAGCAGAGGGGAGTGGCAGGCAGAAGGAGAGGAAGAAGCAGGCTCCCCATGGAGCAGGGAGCCCGATGCGGGACTCGATCCCAGGACCCTTGGATCATGACTTAAGCCAAAGGCAGACGCCCAACCAACTGAGCCACCCAGGTGCCCCAAGAAGGGGTGTTTTTGAAAACTTATAGAAAATGTGGTATATCTATTCAGTGGAATATTACAGGGCAATGAAAAGGAACAAAGCATGAACACATGCTACAACACGGATGAATCTTGAAAACATGCTATGTGAAAGAACCCAATCACAAAAGACCACATGTAGTAGGATTACATTTATACGAAATGTCCACAGTAGGTAAATCTGTAGAGACAGAAAGCAGATGAGCAGTTGCCTAGGGCTAGGGGACAGAGAGGGAGAAATGGGGAGTGAATACTAACGGATATGGGAACTTAGTTCATGGTGACAGTTGACTGTGCATATTCTGAAACCACTGAACTGTACACTTTATTTTTTTTTTTAAGATTTTATTTATTTGACAGAGAGAGACATAGCAAGAGAGGGATACAAGCAGTAGGAGTGGGAGAGGGAGAAGCAGGCTTCCCGCCGAGCAGGGAGCCCAATGTGGGGCTCGATCCCAGGACCTGGAATCATGACCTGAGCTGAAGGCAGATGCTCAACGACTGAGCCACCCAGGCGCCCCGAACTGTACACTTTAAATGGATGAGTTTTACGGTATGTGAATTACATTTTAATGCAGATGTTAAAAAAAAAAAGCTTATAGAAAGGGGGCAAAAACCTCAACCTACCAAAGGAAAGAATATTCCCAGACCCACACTCTAGAAATACTCACAGGGATTAGCTCCATCAGTTACAATTAACATTCGGAGGGAACTCAAGCTCACATCTCTTTGGTCCCGATGTGCCATCATAGCCCAATGCAAGTCTCGACATTTTACTAAAGCTACCTTGGCTATAAATTCAAAAGGGATAAAGTTAACACACACATACGTGCTAAAATTGGTATGTATTTAATATACTATCATAAAAACATTTTTACTTATTTTAGGGATCATGATTCTCACTTAGAGAAAATAAAAAAGACTTCAAAGAATTTCAAATTGTGCCAAGTGTGCTGAAGCACTATCGACTGACAGGACACACAATTATTTTGGTTATTGTGACCTGCAGGCAGGCCACATAGCTCAGCTAAGGAAGCTCTGAACACTGAAGCACCCAATAAATCTAATTCGGGGCTCAGATTCAAGCAAATTAATCTCAACTCTTAAGAAAAGACGTCGAGACAACATACCTGATTTTAGAGTGACTGAATTCTAAAACCTGTCAAGCCACCAAGGCATAGAATTATGGCTCTAGAAGAGCAATTTGAAAATCCCTGAAATCTTAGTTCAGAGAGTCACATAATTAAAGCTTAGATGCTATGTATAATTACCTTTGTGGGCATGTACTCTTTGGACCCAAGAGAGAGGGCAAGTCTTCATAACAGAGTAGGGTACGCTAATTGTATGCATCTTATTCATTACATTCTGAAAAGCAAAGAAAGATAAAAAGTAATCAATACCCAATATATACTAAGCATTTTAAAACTGAACTGATATTTTATTATTTTAATCATACAAGTAATACATGCTCTTTGAAAAAAATCTGAAATATTGACTCTAAGGTTAAAGTCTCCTTTGCTACTACCTACCCTCAAACTTGGTTTCCTCCTCTCCTCCTTGGAGTTGATCGGTTATGAATCTGGCATTTATCCTCCTAGTCTTTTTTCTATATATTTACAAATATATTTGTCCCCACAGAAAGATAAAAGTATTTTTTTTTAAGATTTTATTTATTTATTTGACAGAGAGAGAGACCGCGAGAGAGGGAACACAAGCAGGGGGAGTGGGAGAGGGAGAAGCAGGCTTCCTGCGGAGCGGGGAACCTGATGTGGGGCTCGATCCCAGGACCCTGGGACCATGACCTAAGCCGAAGGCAGATGCTCAACCGACTGAGCCATCCAGGAGTCCCAGATAAAAGTATTTTTAACATAAAAGGCATACTGGCAGCTTGCTTTTTTTCATTTAAATTGTTTTAGGGCTAAGTCAATGCACATCAGCCTAAGAGATCTACAGAATTCTTTTTGAACTGCTGCATACTATTCCATAGTATGACTGTATCACAATTTATTTAGGCCATTTCCCTATTATTGACAACTTTTTTGCTATTATAAACAATGTTTCAAGGGACATGTTTATACTTACTTCCCTGCACATGTGTGCAAGTGTTTGTCTACAGTAGATACAGAAAAGTAGTACTGCTGGGTCATAGAATATATGCTTTTAAAATTCACCAGATACTGCCAAACCGCCCTCTAACCCACTAAGTGCTTTCATCATGCGCATGCTCACCACATACCACAAAGAGGTGGGTATTACAAAGCAAGAAATGAGAGTTTCCCTGATTCTTGGAGGAGGTCCTGCTCAGACTTATTATGTGTTGGGGTAGATAAAGCTGAGTGAGCTGAGGGGGTCATGCAATTTGGTGTCTCTCCTGTCCCCCAAACCAAACATACCCAGACTCCATGTCCCCAAAGAGATCTAGCCCACAGAATAACTAAGTCTTGGTATTTAGACAGGCCATTTTATTTACCACCTAAGTGGTCCCTCAAAAACAAGATACCATTGTAAACCCCCTTTTACCTCCCTCCCCCAAGTTTCTAGCTACGTTGACAGTGTTTTGGATTTCAAGGACAAAATGGTGTTACTACCAAGTCTTTATACATGTCCCTATCTTGCTCTTTGTATCACAGGGAGAAAATTCCCTCTAACTCCTCAAAAGGGTGTTTTCACCTCTGATTAAAAAAACAAAACCGGAAGGCCTTCAGGAATGAGCTGGAAAGTATGTACACTCAAGGAATAGGCTCTTACTACTTTGAGGTGTCCTGGGTAAAAAGGGATCTTCCTCCTCTTCCCCCAGGTTTCACTGTCTACTCATTCTCAGAGTCCTGCAATGAGCAGGGAAGTTGGATGAGATGTTCTCTCGAAGGTCCTTTGCAACTCTCAGACCCTTTATCTCTCAGCATGCTATATATGGTAGCTTTTCCCATTTAAACGTCCCCTCTCTTTATCTCCACCCCAAAATATCTCTATAATGGCTAAAGCTTACCCATTTCTCAAAGTCCAACTCAACTGTCACTCTTTTAGAAAAATGGCCTGATATCAGAGCTGGGAGGAACTACCCTTGGCCTAACTCCCACAGTATGTTACCTGTTCCTCTATTACAGAAGTAGCCTGATCTACCTTGTTACTCTATTCTTTAATTGTCACATGGAGTCATTCAATATATTTTGCCCAACGGAAAGGTTAGATGTCATTAAGCACAGTTGTCAAGTTCTAAATACATTTATGTAATCCTTTCTTCAGAAAAGAGGCAAATCTCAAACATACTATTGTTAATCATAAATAAATATACAGTCATTTGTAGAAAAGTGGTACTATGATGGCCCATGTTTTAAAAAAATTTTGATCCTAAGTTCTCCCACAAACTCTTATGTGAAATGTATGCCCAACCACACGCTGAAGAAAGAACAGAATTACAGTCTCCTTAAAAAACATTACCATTTGTATTACAAAATTCTTCTAGAAAATATTATTGATCTTTAGGGGGCTTAAATTTCAAACAAGCACAGGGAGATGATCTGGTTACAGAGCACACATACTGACCTGAATTATAAGCACAATTTACACTAAAGGCCATAATTCTGAGGAGCTTACCGCAAACATGCCATGCCACAACCCGGCATCCTTCTTAAAGTCTAAAACATTGACTACTGTCTCCCCTAGGATTAAAAAAAAAGGGAAAAAACAAAAGGAAATCATCTTTAGTGTTAAGCAGTAAAACTGTCTCACTTATCTCTATTAAACAACTGGTTTGATACTTCAGAAGAAATCACTAAAAGCTGTCAGGGTCTTTTGATTACTTGAGGGTCCCCTCAAACTGGCTGGGGGACTGATCATAGGTCAGAGAAGAGATAATGAGTTTGAAATTCCTTACGACACAGGCACTGTCTTCCAAGAGATATTTTTTTCCTAATTATATAAGGAACACATGCTTATTTTAGAAACTTTGCAAGTTTCACAAACACATGTAAAAAACTGTACTTCCTAGAGAAAATTAAAAAGTTGGTGTGTGTGTATATATATATATATCTATATATTACATACACACACACACACACACACACAAACATACTTACATCTAGACAGATACCCACCATAACAAAATTGGCATACAGATATCTACCATAATAAAATTGGCATACCACTCTGTATCTAAATTGTTGCCACTTAATGATATATTGAAACAATTTCCCTATATCTTTAATATTCAAGTACAGGAGTCTTAATGCCTCAGGGTATAATCCACTACTTGAGCATATTATAATTTAATCAATCCCTATTTTCTGGCATTTTGATTGCTTCCATTATATATATAAATATATTTTACCAGACAAGAATGCTGCTCTTTAATGAACATGTATTAACTTGTTTCATTTTATGAAAGGAAAATAAAAAATTTAATATTGTAAAGAACATTCTAAGGCAAAAAGTCATTACACTGTATCAACATATCCGAAGTTCAACAATACAGAATACATTTTTGTGTTTTAATTTGTGCTTTTTGGTAGCTGGATTTCTTTGACTCTAACTCCAAATGTACAGCTGGTGTCAGCTCTATATACACAGGAGGACAGAGATATAACATTCTGCAGCTAATAAACACATGGTTTTAATTTGTTTTCTATTTCTACACTCTAGAAGTCATGCTTTACATATTTGGTTTGCCCAGAATTTTAGTTCCTTTAAATTATAGCATATTTGTGAAAAAGAAGAAAGCAAAAGCAAGCCAAGAATGTGTCTTAGAGCATTTCACTCTGAATTTGGTCATTAACTGGAATCCAGTTGTTGAGCACTCTGCTCACGGTCACATATATCTGAGGCTCACAATGAGGGCAGTCACGGGATGAAGTCTGACCTTCAGAATAATTGCAGGCCTGGGACAGAGCTTGGCAGTGAGACAACATTGCAAGGCGGGACACTGTAACTCCCATTACACTCCCTTCTTTGCTTGTTTTATACTAGAAAAAAAAACACAAAAAACAAAAGCATAAGAAAACACAATAAAATGGGTTATTTCAAATGACAAAGTAGAATTCAAAAATGAAACCCAGAGAAGCCATGGTAATGGGCTGAATTTAATGTTTCACATGACTATTTGAGGCTATGCACGGGGGCCCCAAACTCTAATCATGCAAAGATAGGATGAGGAATGACGAAGCTTGACAAAAGTATGTGTGAAAAATTCTTAAAAGTTTAATTAGTCATCAGTGTGAAGTGGCTGCTAAAGAAGCCAAACAAGTGACTGGAGCTGCATTACTAGAAGCATCATATCAAGTACACAGCAAGCAGGGCACTGCAGAGTTCAAGGTGGGTAAGACGTGGTTCCTGTCTGTCAGAAGCTCCTTTAGCGGGAGGGGGAGACCTAGAAATGGCCTATTCACTCCTACAAATGAATCAACTCTCACTTTGCTTTTTACCTCAATGCTCCACCCAAGCTGTTTTTTACCCAGATCAGCAACTTCTGTTTGTTAAATCAAAAGGATATATGACATACTTGATTTTATCTTGCATTTCTGTAACATTTGACACCTCCTTCCTTGACACTGTCTCCTTCCTTGGCTTTTGTGATATTCTTCTCTCCTATTCATAATCTCTCCCCCTTTCTCCCCCTTCCATTTCCTTTGCCCATCCCTTAAATGTTGGCATTTCCTGAAAGTTCTGTTCTGCCTTCTCTTTTCACTTCATTCCATCAGGGTACCACTCACCTGATGGCTCCCAATTCTCGATCTCCAACCCAGCCCTCCTTCCAGATATGCATACTTATAGAGTCAATTGTTCCCCCTTAACGACCTGTAGTCCTGTGAAACCCAATGCATCCACCACGGTATTCCTCATCCCCACCCTGTGCCCATGAACTCTTCTTGCTGTATTTTCTTTTTTTTTTTTCCCCCAAGATTTTTTATTTATTCATTTGACAGAGAGAGATAGCGAGAGAGGGAACACAAGCGGGGGAGTGGGAGAGGGAGAAGCAGGCTTCCCACCAAGCAGGGAGCCCGATGCGGGGCTTGATCCCAGGACCCCGGGATCATGACCTGAGCCAAAGGCAGATGCCTAACGGCTGAGCCACCCAGGTGCCTCCTTGCTGTATTTTTTCTTTCTTTCTTTTTTTTTTTTTAAGATTTTATTTATTTATTTGAGAGAGAGAGAATGAGAAAGAGCACATGAGAGGGGTTAGGGTCAGAGGGAAAAGCAGACTCCGGGAGCCTGATGCGGGACTCGATCCCGGGACTCCAGGATCATGACCTGAGCCGAAAGGCAGTCGCTCAACCAACTGAGCCACCTAGGCGCCCTCTTTTTTTTAAGATTTTATTTATTTGCCAGACAGAGAGAGAATGCATGAGAGAGAGCACAAGCAAGGGGTGCGGCCGGGAGAAGGCTGGCTTCCCGCTGAGCAAGGATCCCGATGTGGAACTCGACCCCAGGACCCTGGGATCATGACCTGAGCCAAAGGCAGACGCTTAACCGACTGAGCCACCCAGGCGTCCCTGCGCCTCACTTCTGAAGGGAAAAAGGAACCTGATGTTTGAATAAACTAGTACAAAATCTCACAGCCCAGGTTGAATCCATTCCTCTTCTTGTTGAAAACTGAAAAATAGGGGCACCTGTGTGGTGCCCCTTAACCAGTTGGTTAAGCGTCTATCTTTGGCTCAGGTCATGGTCTCAGGGTCCTGGGCTCCCTGCTCAGCAGGGAGTCTGCTTCTCCTCTCCCTGTGCTTCTACCCCTCCCGTCCCCACCCCTGCTTGAGCTCTCTCTCTCAAATAATTAAAATCTTTTTTAAAAAATCTAAAAATTGAAAAATAAAATTATTTTAGAGGAATTTTTGAAAGAAAAATAAGTTACATTGAAAAGTGATTTAAAAAGGAAAAATCAAACTTTAGCTGGGGTGCAAAACTAAATGGAAAAGTACCAGTTCTTTGGGGGTTTTTTGTTGTTGTTGTTGTTTTTTAAGGATTATTTATTTATTTATTAGTCAGAGAGAGCGAGCATAAGCAGGGGGAGTGGCAGGCAGAGGGAGAAGCAGGTTCCCCGCCAAGCAAGGAGCTGGACGCAGGACTCGATTCTAGGACCCCGAGATCCCAACCTGAGCTGAAGGCAGATGCTTAAACGAATGAGCCACCCAGGCATCCCTAATTCTTTGTTCATTATAAAATTTTGTGCCTGTTCTAGCAAGAGGTAGAATGAAATGGCAAAGATCTAAAAAGTAATTGGTTTCAATTTTTAGATAAAACTGTCAGATTTTTGGGGACAACTGGGTGGCTCAGTCAGTTAAGCATCTGCCTTCAGCTCAGGTCATGATCCCAGGGTCCTGGGATCAAGCCCCGTGTTGTCAGGCTCCCTGCTCAGAGGGGAGCCTGCTTCTCCCTCTCCTCCCAGCTTGTGCTCTCTCTCACTCTCTCTCTCTCTCTCAAATAGGTAAATAAAATCTTTAAAAAAAAAAAAAGGCATTTCTTTAAAAACAAAAACTATCCTGCCATATATCCTGCCCAAACATCTCCAAATCCCCTTCTAGTATTAAATCATCAGTGGATCCAGAAAGCCTCCTTCTTCTTTCTGCTCTTTTTTTTAAAGATTTTTTTTAATTTATTTTTTAACAGAGAGAGACAGTGAGAGAGGGAACACAAGCAGGGAGAGTGGGAGAGGGAGAAGCAGGCCTCCCACCGAGCAGGGAGCCCGATGTGGGACTTGATCCCAGGACCCCGGGATCATGACCTGAGCCAAAGGCAGATGCCTAACGGCTGAGCCACCCAGGTGCCTCCTTGCTGTATTTTTTCTTTCTTTCTTTTTTTTTTTTTAAGATTTTATTTATTTATTTGAGAGAGAGAGAATGAGAAAGAGCACATGAGAGGGGTTAGGGTCAGAGGGAAAAGCAGACTCCGGGAGCCCGATGTGGGACTCGATCCCGGGACTCCAGGATCATGACCTGAGCCGAAGGCAGTCGCTTAACCAACTGAGCCACCAAGGCACCCTCCTTGCTGTATTTTCTTTCTTTTTTTTTTTTTAAGTTTTTATTTATTTATTTGAGAGAGAGAGAGAATGAGAGATAGAAAGCACGAGAGGGAAGAGGGTCAGAGGGAGAAGCAGACTCCCTGCTGAGCAGGAAGCCCGATGTGGGACTCGATCCCATGACCTGAGCCGAAGGCAGTCACTTAACCAACTGAGCCACCCAGGCGCCCACTTGCTGTATTTTCTTAATAAAGGATGGCATCATCTACCCCGTTGCTCAAGTCAGAAACCTGAGAGTCTTTCTTGCTTCCTTCCTCTCCAGAGTCAGGCCCTAAATCCCGCCTCTTCTACTTCCTTACTGTCTCTCAATTCTACCTACTTTTCTCTATCCCCATCACCATGAGCTTGGGCTTACCCAGATAACTGTAAAAACTGGACTCCCTGTTTACCTTAACCCAACCAAACCAGATACATCTTTTAACAACATATTTATTCTTATCAAACTCTTCTGACAACCCTTTAATAGCTCCCTATGACTCCTAGGGTACTTTAAACTCAATAGAAATGTCCTGTGGGTAGTAAGAGGTTCCTAAGTAAAAACTGCAAGTTAGTTCAGAATAGCCAAAGCCTAGAAATGCGGAGGGTAGTAGTTCTACATGAGGTCAGAGAGCCAAGCAGGGGCCACACAATGAAGTGCCTTTCGCTTTTTATGAAGAACCAATAAAGAAGCCTGAAAAGGAGTGTTCGCTGAGGCAGGAGAACTGACAGAGTATTCAGGGAAGCCAGTGAGCAGGGTTAAGGAGGCTGGAGTGATGAACTATGTCCTCACTGAGAAATGATATGGATTAAGAATTGACTGCTAAATTTTAACTGCCTGTTTACTTGTCTGTCATTTATTTTATTTTATTTATTTTTTAAAGATTTTATTTATTTATTTGACAGAGAGAGCGAGAGAGCAGAAGCAGGGGGAACAGTAGAGGGAGAGGGAGAGGCAGATTCCACATAGAGCAGGGAGCCCCATGCGGGGCTTGATCCCAAGACCCTGGGATCATGACCTGAGCCAAAGGCAGACGCCTAACTAACTGAGCCATCCAGGCATCCCACTTGTCTGTCACTCAAACATACTAAGCTCTCTTTCATCTTTCTACAACATGAACATATCACTGCTCAAAGCTACTGCCCACTCTCTTCCCTTTTATAGCCAGTTATCACCACAGGGCTCAAGACTGGGTGGATTTTTCTCCTCAAACTTTTCTTTTTTAATGTATTGATTTGTCATTAATTTAGCAAACAGGTGGTGAGCATTTACTAATATGTCTCGAGCACAATGCAGAGTCATCAAGGGCACAGCTTTTAAAGTGAAATAGATGGGAGTGTAAATCCCAGCTCTGTCATTTTTGAGTCATGTGGACTTTGGTTGGTTACTTGAGTTCATTTAAGTCTTAGTCTCCTCATCTATAAAGCAGGTCTGATAACAGCCCCAAACTCATAGGGTACTTGTGGGGATTGCCTAAGATCATGCATTTGAAGCCGCTCTTAGCCTGGTGCCTGCTACGCAGGAGGACTTAATCCCTCAAACTGAATGTTTCGATCACTCAAGGTCCTAACACTGACCTTCAATACCAAACCCTCTAGCCACGTGTTTTTTCTTGCTCTTTATCTTTCCTCTGTTAAGTTTGTTCTTTTCAAGCACAGCTCTTTTCCTTCCTTGTTTCTCCATTCTTTTGCTTCCCACTCCCATACCTCCCCAAAAGCGGCAGAGGAATATCTCTGTCATTATATCATTTCTTAAACCTTTGTACACCTCTAGGTCTTGTGTAACTTTCTTCCATGATGAGGATCAATTTTTTTTTTTTTGTGGGGGCTGTCTTTCTCTTGAATGTGTATTTACGTTAAAAACAATTAGAAGGTCCAATACAAGCATTTTACAAGCAAAAAGATGGAACTCTAAAAACGAGGAGGCTTTTCTAAAATTAAAACTGCAAAAGGTTAGTTTTAAATTTTATAAGATGGCAACTGAAGCCACACGAAGCCAGAATGTATGTTCTAGTCTCAGGACTTACCTCAATGTATGCTGGTTCTGTACCAGCAGGTGAGATGTGGGGCTGCCAGTCTTTAGGTGGCTTTGAAAGGTACTTGGAATCTGTTACAACCCATTTGAGCCGGGGCCAACCTAAATCAAACCCAAAATAAAAATTGAATTGCCTAAGCCATAAGGGAAGGCGTTCACATTGGTCGTTTTAAGTATCAAGAGACCAAATCAAGGTCATTGTAAAATCAGTAAACGACTGCATTTTTTATTAGTTTTTAGTGATAAATCACCAGACAATTATACCTTCTTTCAAAAATACAATCGTTCCACATGCTCATTTCAGGCCTTGACATTACCTCAATAACTGGGAGGTCCATTTGGCAGTGGAAATCCACTGAGGTTAGTGGTCTATCCTCTGTCTCTACATGTAGCATTTAGCTTTAGTGAACAGAGTGGTAGCTTTTTCCAACCATCAGCATAAAGGTTAAGGGTGTGGGCTGTGGAATCAGACAGATTTGGGTTCAAATCGCTGCTCTGCCATTTATTAGCTGTGACTTTGGGCAAGTTACTTAACCTCTCTGTGTCTCAGTTTCCTCACCTTAAAATGGGGATAATAATGGTACCTACTTCATAAGAATGTGAGAATTTAAGAAAATAGATGTTAAGTACTTAGCTATTATTAAATTAAAATACTAATTAAAGTATAAGCTTTAACTTTTAATTGATGATTCAAGTATAAATATTACTAACCTTTAAACTGTACAATTTCTCCATTCTGGGTTTTTGGCAGCCCCTTTAGACAAACTTCACTGGTAAGAGCTAAGGCAATACCACAGCTTCCTAGCAAGAAGCCAATCTGCTGCCCTCCAGCATCCTGTGGAGAGAAGATAATGAGCACGGTGGGGAGTGAACGTGAGCACACCCGGGCCCCAGACCTAACACTGAGCAAGGCTCTGGCACTTGTGTGATAATATTCACGGGACCCTACTGACACCTGGCAATTGTCAAACTCCAATGACAATATGTTCTTCCAAATAACTTCTACAATACAATGACTTCCTGAGTACAAATCAAATATCTTATTAATCTGACATTGCTAATCGTGAATTCTACCAGCCAATGTGACCATTTTATTCAAAAGTCAGCAACGTTCCTCCTTTAAATTAATTTCAGGCCAATGAAATAGATGTGATGTGAACCTGGTTAAGTTGTCTTGACCTAGCCACATCCCCAAATTCAAAAGCAAAGCAAGCCAGGTCAGAATAAAATAACGTAAATGGACACCAAATGTCCAAATTTACAATGAAAGCGAATGAATGGTTATACCCAAATCCATACACTTCCTTATTATTCTATTTTAAAGGAGGTAAGATTTAAGTCTTATGACAACAGCAGAGAAAACAATGAAAGAGATAGTCTAAGGTATTTCCATTAAAATATCACCTTGAAAGTATCATTATGAAACCACACAAACACAGCCAACTTAATAATTTAAGAACAACCCTATGATTTCCTGACTAATCTAAAGATGCTATATCCCATCAACCAGAGTTTCAGGGATGTTACCAATTTGTTTTTTATTCCTTACACAAAATAACTGTTTTCTTATAAATCCACAGTCTCTATCATATTTGTCTTTATCACGATCCCTCAATAATAAACTGTAGGAGAAAATTAGGGTCAAACAGCTCATGGAGAAATCTTTCGGTTAAACTTAAAAAAATTTGCTACATATGCTGCATGGGCTGATGGGTCATTAAAGTAAAATCTTATTCCCCAGAGTAGTAATCTGCATCACTGTATCATCCTTCAACTTAAGAGAAATCCTGGGTTGTATGATACAGTTAAAGGAAATCCCTTCACAAAAAGGTCTCACCTATTACAAATGTGGATTATCTATAGTCTCAAGGAAGTAATAGGGATCCTCTTTATAAATGGTTAATTGTTGAAAAGTAAGGTATGCCCCCATGATTTTTAAATTTTATCTATAAAAAATCTAACTTAGTTGAAACAATATTATTTTCCTGAAATTTATAAACAATAATAACTATTATTTGTCTACAACTCTCATGTTTTTAGAAAGTGAAGCTGAATACTTAAGAAAATGGTTAGGCTGTTTCTAATGTCATGATGGAATCAATCGATCCAAGAACCCGATGCCCACCATGTCACATCAGGCTACATTCCTCTTAAATTTAGCAATGTTACCTTTCTGGTAAGAGGTACCTCTATAGGCACTGGAATCACTTCTGCCAGGAGACATCCATAAAAAGCCACCATAAACATGACTGGATCATTGTTGGGGTAAACCAGGGCTACCTAAAATGCATAATGACATTCAATAACAGAGGAATAAAACTAGACTAATACTTTCAGTGTCACTAAGATAAACATTTATATATAACATGTCTCATGAACACAATGAAACTAATAGCCTAAAGAAAATGAAGTTATTGAGAAAAATGCACAAGTCTAAAAAAGATTTCTATCATTCCCATGATTATACTAGACATGTTTTGGAAACTATAATGCAATTCATCATCATAAGAAAAATTTTTCACTGAATTCTATGGTGATTGAGCAGTTAACAACTCACCTTAAGTAGTAAGTTAATTACTTGTGAAACCTAAGGCAATTTACTTTAGTGAAGGACTAACGCAATAAAATAAATGTAATGGGTCTCTCTAGATAGGCCAGCATATTAGAGAATAAGCCTTACAACTCTCAGAGAACTCACAGGAGTTGACTGACTCGATTGCCACTATAGCGCCAACTCAAGGTTTCTTATTCTTTAATGAGTTCATTGCATTAATCCTCACTCACTTAACCAACAATGCAAGTACTCCAGCATGAAGGCTTTGGTAATGGGTGTAAGTAATATTGGCACAAGCCATTATGGATAAAAAGTTAATTCATCTACAAAAGATAAACAGTGAAACCCATGTTCAAACTGTTCAAAATTGTGATCTCACCTGTAATGCATCATAGGGATAACTGACCCTTCCTAATTTACTGAAGGAATGTAAAACCATTACCATTGTGGAGCTTGTTACTTGGCTTAGATGTTTATAGGTTAACATGTTAAACTTAATTATGTCACCAGACTCTTGTTTCCCCTTCTTTTACTTTCAAATTCTCTTAACTCACTCCCAAGATAAATTCAATCCTGAAGTTGCTAATCCTTTCTAGAGTTCTAAAAAATGTTAATTCCAGAAAACATTTAAGACAACCCATTTCCTTCCTGCACGCAAGTGTCTATGGTGCTAGGAAGACACAAAAATTACTTTCTTAGGTTCAGTGAGGACCAGGAAACCCTCATGTGTCCCAATTATAAGTGGAAGTCACCCTCTACGTGCCCTTTGCCACAGTGCAAAAGTATTTTTAAAAGGCTAGTTCAGGAGGTTCTATATCATGAGCCTACTAAAAAGAAGTCTGTTGTGTAGTTGGTGCTTCATTCTACAAATACCAAATAAAAAGTAACATTAAAAAAAAAAGTAACATTTGACGAAAAGAAGTCATCATATTTAGAAAGTCATTGATAGGAAAAAAACTCTTCAAAAAGTTAGAAAAAAATTTTTGTTTAATGTCACCTTCAATTAAGAAGAAATTAAATTATGTCATTTTGTTTCTTCTTAGAACATGGGTCACCCTCTCTACATAAAACCACAGAAAATGTTTTGAAAAATTTTTATGGGGTAATTTGTAATGAAAAAAAATCAGAGCAAACTTTATTGCTATTTTTGTTGTCTGATTATTGAAATATTTATTTCCAGAAAGAGTTAGGTTCCTCTTTCTTTGTATTAGCATAAGAATTTACTGAGTAGCAGCTACTGAAAGGGACATGTGAATTTCCTTCAATCTATGAATGTAAGAATTATAACCTGGCATTGAGCAAACCATTTTCATTTTCTAAGAATAAGAGTTACATAAATTGTACTGTTGTGCATTAAAAATCCAGAATGTGCATATTAGAAAACAATGAAACATCACCTCCCTAAAACCAAAAAACCAATTACCCTGTCTCCAGGTTTTAATACAGGTTCATTTTTGGTCCCCAGTTTATTAAGCAGTGTGTAGGCCAACTTTAAACTTCTGCTCCACAACTTTCCTGGAAAAAGAAAAGAATCATATAGAAAAACACAGGCCTACCTCAGCAAGGGGG